TATATGACATTTACTCTGTTAAAATTCCCCTGACGATCTTTGTGTTGGGTCACGTCTCATGTTCTGGTGAGCTGTTCCTGTGTTAGAAGTCGTGGACTTTCTTTTTCTTTATTGTTCTTGATCTACCTGGCAATTTCCCAGCTATAGCCAGGGTCTGCCTTACATGTCGTGAATAGTTTTTGGCTATTCGTTGTTACGACCGGCCGCCTGCCTGACATCAACCCTCTTTTTGGGAATCAGTATTTATCAGTGATGTCTAAATACTCTTAGAAAGTACATATGATTCGGAAAAATCACATTGGTACTTGCCCGGGTCAGGATCGAACCCGCGCCCTCGGTGACGAGAGGCGGGCCCTTTAACCACTGAGCCACCACTGACTCTATTTCTTTTTCTTTATTATGAACATTTAATAATTTGGAAATGATGATCATGTACTTATGAGTGATTAATGTTATTAGTCACTTAACCAGACTTATATAGTCATGATGGTCTAGTGTTCGAGGTACAGTTTTGGGCTTGATTTTTAATGTTCAATTTTACTTCCAGTAAATGGGTCCAGGCAGTATGTTTTAGTTTTCAAATACGAGTTGTGTTACCATTACAAAATTACAGTGATTCAGTATTATAATTAGTCATAAAAACAATTCTAAAGATTATAGTATATTTATTGTCATTAGTAAGGCACGGGTGGCGCCACTTAAAAACTAGACTCTGGAGGTTAAAGGCCCGCCTCTCGTGCATGAGGGTGCGGGTTCGATCCTGACCCTGGCCAGTACCAATGTGAACTTTCGAGTGATATGTACTTTGTAAGAGTATTTAGACACCACTGACATATGAAAGAAAACATCGTGAAGAAACATGGACTTATAATATCAAATTATAAGTTTGAAATCATTAACTCGTCCTAAACAGGCGTTGTGATTAATGCCCTAAACTTCTCCATATGAGAAGAGATGTGTGTGAAGAGTTTGCTCTGAACCAGACTTAGGAAAGAAGAAAAAGTGGATTATGTTATTCATCAAATTATAATTATGTAGGTATGCTGTCCACTGCAGAGTTCAGATGTTCTTTCTTTGTGGATTTCGAAATAGTTATATATTTAGATTATTTTTAATGTGATTTTTTCTTATGACTATAATACTAAAGTAACTAGATCGTGGTAATTAAGTAAAGTAAGCGAATTTTATTTTCCACTTATTAATCTATTTAACGGAGTTTCTGTCCGTGTAAAGTTTTAAATTTATATATTCTTATAACTTCGTTGTGTTTTAAAACTATTTCCAGTCCAAGTCGCATCTTGTTATAAAACTTATATCTTTGGTGTATAAAAATATAATTATGTATTTGCAGACGTTATTTCATCGACTCTTATTAACAACACATTGGTTGACAATTGGAGGAATTGGTTTTGCTAAGCATCATGTTGTATGAACCGTAAGGAGTACGTGATAAAATAACGAAATGATTATTCATTTTGGCTAAATAAATATTGTACATCTTTTATTATTATAAATACATATATTGTTTATGTACTGGGTAAATTATTAATATCGACGAAAAGATTTCTATTACCATTTTATTAAACCGTTTTAATTACAGAAATAATCAGAATGCACTACAACCTGAATCCTTAAACAGAAAAAATTTCTATGGAATTTTTAATAATATTTCTGGCAATTACATTAAATAACTATGACATTCCCAAAGAGAGTTGATGTCAGGCAGGCGGCCGGTCGTAAAAACAAATAGCCAAAACTATTCACAACATGTAGGTAAGGCAGACCCTGGCTGAAGCTGGGAAATTGTCAGGTAGAAGAAAGAAAGACATTAAATAATTATGACATCAAACTTATTGACCAACCATATTTTATATAACATACCTACTTTAATATTTTAATAATAAGAGGAAAAAATTGTAAACACATCGATAAGAACTCATACAAACGATTACTCATATTATATTTAACACAAAGAATTAATTATATACCAAAACTAAAATGATGAAATAAATGGAAATTATCAAACATTGAGATGTTATATTACGTCAGAATGAGATCTGAGACTTTTGTGAGTATTCATTTAAATGAAACTAATATTATTAGGATATACGCGGTATATTATTGCAAAAGTTTTGGGGAGTATGTAGTTGTCAATTAAAAAAAACGCGTAGTATTATACTAAGCGATTTATTTTTGTAAGTTTTGGAGAGTATGTAGTTTAAAAAAAGCGGCGTAGTATATCCGATAAATATTAGTTTCATTAAAATGAATATTACGTCATATTAAATAAAATAATGAAATGATATTTCTAATTGATGTTTCAATATTTAAATCTCAGTCGTCTTATAAGAAGCTTGAGATCTTTTGTTATGTATTTATGCTAATTTATCCCAAACTTTGTGAATAAGGTTAAAGATACAGTTTCAGTGTTCATTTTCAATGTTTAGCGTTACTTCCAGTTGTCTTACAAAATGGCTGAAGCAAGTATATAGTTTTCAAATACAGGTTGATATTTATGTTGCACACAAAATAATATTGGTTCAGTATTACAATTAGTCGTAAAAGAAATTCGAAGGTTTACAGTATATTATAATTAGTACATCACAGATAGCGGAACCTGTATTAAAAGATAATTTTGTTCCTATATCTCATAAGTCATAACTAAAACTAATCGATGGTAAATCGTTATTACTTTATAGGAAATTACTTCAGTGTTACTTATGACCATTGAAATTAAATAAACTTTAAGAAATTGTCACTCCTTCGAGGTATATATCATAAAAAATATATTTAAATATTATACATGGGACTTATGATGCCTTTCAAACTGATACAAGCTATGGAGCTGTTGTAACAAGTCACCAGGTTTAATACAAGCTGATTAAAGTACCGACGAAACCTCTCATCATTCAATGTATTCACGGTGCGTGTGTCGGGTCCATCGTTGTAGTGAGAGGAGCTTCAACAGTGACTGGGACTTGTGACACACGTGTAGGTTTAAGAGCCCTTTACTTATCAAGATTTTTAAAGTGATTATATTTAACTTTCTTAAATGTTGCTTAAGTTATTTTATTTTGATTTTAATTCTGATTTTATGAAAAGTTTACTCAGCCTACTTAATTGTTTTTATGAGATCTTATATAAATATTTTTATTTAATAAAATCTACTTAATAAATTCATTGCCGAATATTAAAATACTATTACTTACTCATTTATATTATAATACAAGAAACCTTCGCGTTGAGAACTCCAACTTAATTCAAAATAATTCATAATTATTTAGGAATGTTGTTTAATAAATTATAAAAACAACAAGATTATATAACTTTTAATATATTTTAAAATGTCGTTAATAGGTACATAAACGTTGAATGAAGGTTGACAAATTATATTAAAGGTTTTTTATGACCCATCGCCATGTTACCTCGGTCTAAGGTATAACAGATATACCTACTTTTTAACGTTAGCTACGGTCCTATTGACGTAGAATACTATTTTACGACGTGAATCCGTAGTTTAAACCGTGTTTTAAGAATAACTACGGAGTTCAGTACGGACGATCACCTCTATAAATATTTTTTGGAAGTAATTAATCTGTTTTCAATTTATCGTTACAAGCATTTAACACATTGAACTCACATAGAAATAATGGTTTTAGACAAAGAAAAGATTTTCAACGATATAGTCGCCTAATATTTTTATACATTATAATATAAATTGTAAAAATGTATGAATATATATCGTCATATAGTTTTCTAATTTTAATTATATGCATTTCATTAAATAGGAATTATTCGCGCCAAATTAATAAAACTTCGTTATATGAAGTAGATTAAAAAATATACGAAAACGGATTCATATACTTTAAGGCATTGGATCTTTTGTAAACAGCCAATATAATAATATAAAAACTCTTTAGTTAATATATTAATTATTATCTTCTGTCTCTGTCACACATCGTGTATTCGTTAAACTACATATATAAGTAAATTCCTCAGTAATATATTTCAGATCCTCCTCGGGATCCGCGGGGTCAACGACATTTTTGGCTTCGATCCAAACATCAACATAGAACTTAGTTTATTAATAGATAAATAATTTATTTACTAAAAAACTGACGTTGAAGACTTTCGTTTGTAACATATAAGTTCACTAGCTTTCCGCCCGCAGCTTCGCCCGCGTGGAGTTCGGTTATATCGCGTTTCCAAGAGAACCTTTCAAAAGTCTGGGATAAAAACTATCCTATGTTCTCTCTCAAGGTCAACTTCATGTCTGTACCAAATTTCATTAAAATCAGTTCAGTGGTGGAACGTGGAAAGCGTAACAGATAGACAGAGTTACTTTCGCATTTATAATATTAGTAGGGATTGTAAAGAAATCATGTTTTATATGTATTTGTTCATAAAACATATAAAAAGTGTATCGTCTGCCTGCCGCCGGCCGCCGGTCGCCGCGCTCCTGTCAACTGAAATGTCGACCAAGTAACGGTTTAAAACATTTTTAATGGTTTTACAGTCGCTTACTATAACTTTAAAACATCTGGTATTATTTTTCTTCTATATTAATTATATTACATCATTTGGTGTGTTTAATATATTGAGGAACTGTTTAAAAGGAATTACTAATCTTAATTTTTTTTAAATATAAAATGTAAAGATGAAAAATCTTTTTAATTATACTTATTAATAAATTATAATATTTATGAAAAGATATTCATGAATTTCTTCTGAAAAAAGGAGCTATAAATTCCGTTTAAGTATTGTAAGATCGTAAATGCTGACAGCCCTGTCTCAATGATCAAATTGGGGGGAAACCTCTCCCAAAATGGCAGCCATAAGCCATTGTTCAACTTTACATTTGATGTTCATTTACAGTTAGCCATAATTAAAAACAATTCTGTTCTTACGATGACAAGTTGCTACAGAATTAAAGTCAAAATGGCGACTTTATTTTATTTAAATAATATTAATACATAGAAAGTTAATTTACTAAACACGTGATGTATTTCCTGGACGGTTCGGGTTATTTCCATTCGCTGGCAGAAAAACGGCGCCACGATCCTACCGGCTACGTTATCTGGGGACATTTGCATTACTTAGAATTCATTAGTCAAATTGAATCAAAACAAAATCTCACTAAGTAATCTTGAATACATTTTCTATTTCTTCAGACCTCATACTGCCTCAATTTTTATTTATTTTGAGTTTACTTTTAAGCCATAAATCTCCGTGTTCTGAAGTGCGACAGAATGATTGACATATTAGTTAGTTGTCAAATCTAATGTCAAAAAAAACGTTTGTATGGGAAATAGAAAGGGCTGTTTTTATGGTTTTCCCTCAAATTAATCAATTTTTTCAGCTTTTACACCTTCCCTGAACCTCCAGGAATATTTTAAGACTAAGATAAGATAAATCCGTTCAGTTGTTCTCGAGTTTTAGTGAGACCAAGGAACAGCAATCCATTTTTATATATATAGAAGTTATTGGATAAATTTAACTGAATGATACGTCGTCACAACACTAACACAACACTTTAAATGTCTTCAATTGTAACTAGTATATGTCCCGAGTGTTATCCTACGCCTGCCATTATGTTTACGAGCTTCAATTATTTATTAATATAATGTAATGTGTTTTTAATGCGACCCAACCTGTCCACAACTGTGTCAAGTGATGACATTTAGTTAGAAATATCCGCCATATGTAGCTAGGTAATGTTGCTGTTATATTAAAAGTTATGTTACCAGCTACAACCTTGAACAAGAATATATATGACGATATATTAATTCTTTTAAAAGCTATATGAAGACATAAGATTATTTTGATAATTATTAATACTATTTAAATTAAACATTAACACATAATTATTACAGCCTTATTGTACTATAAGTCACGTTCAATAATAAGACTCATTACTTATAATTTTCTAAGAGAAACATAATATTTTAGAGAATTAATATTTATATAATATGCATATATATAATATTTTAGTTAATTTAACCAGTTTTTTGTGACTTTTTCATACGTTCATATTTCAGCAATATGTTATACAGTTTATTTCTGAGCAATAACTTTCTATAACTAACCCTAATGAATAATGATATTAATCCTCAAGTATCTCTCCATCACTAGTCCATCTTAAACTCAAAGAATTTTTCAATCTGCAGCAGTGGTTCTTGAGGTTAGCTCATTCAAGCAAATAAAATAAAAATAAAATCATACCAAATATTTATTGTGCACAATATTTCAACAGCAATGGTTATATGAAAGTTTGAAAATAATAAATGAAAGAACTAATTAGAAATATTCCTTCGATTGACCAAAACTTTTAATTAAATAAATTCCATATCTATAAATGTGTTATTAAATTCGTTATTTGTGATTATCTATAAATGTGTTATTAAATTCGTTATTTGTGAATAAAGCGGTCATACAGTCATTTCTGTGTCTCATAAATATTTTAAGGAATGTAATAATTAATAAGAAAACAATTGAATTGATTAATTAAATATACCTATATAAACAATTCTATAATGATTTCAAGATATGTAACAAGTGACTTCATGATGTAACTTGTAAGTAATATTTAAAATAAAATAATGAAGAAATATTTATTAGGTATTTATTTCTAAGGCTATGTTACTTTAAACCACATTTTGTTTATTTTTTCGTCATTTTTTTCACAGTCGAATAATATCATTATTGATATATAATATGACTGTGTTTAAAAACATTTTAAAACTCCCAAAACTCCTGCTAGTATTAACTTCGCACGATATTTCATTTTCAAATAAGATACATAAGTATTAAGTATATAAATTTCTGATCATAATTACTTTTCTTGTTTGTTTGTGCGTCTCTGTTTATATATTATTAATACCTATAGTATTGTGAATTGTTTTGAGAAGAATTTACCTTTCGTCGACGAAACAAAATGCTAAGGATACCAACTTTAAAACACTTAAATTATCGTGTAATATGAAAAAGCTCTCGAAATACTTTAGAAAATTGGTCAATTAACATGAACGAAGTAGGGAGAACAACTTTGTATGTAACTTAAAACTCAAAACTTACCTGAGAAATCAGTTCCATACATCGTGTACTAGGGACCGTTTTATCAGAAAAGTTATACCTATAACGGTCTTCAAACAGGATCTTTCTTTTCAGATACCAAATACCTTCATTGAAATAAATATTTTCATATTAAACATCCCACCAAAATAGGAATCGCCTCGGAACGTGGGCGTGCGACCATGGCAGTGTCTTTTTTATATCCATAAAAACTTTTATTTATAAAATATTTGCTTTAAGGAAGTTTAAAACATAGCTTTTTCTATAAATAAAGCAATAATTTTAGCCACGAAACTATGCTCTTAATATGTCATCAAATAAATTCTATCAATCGTTTATGAAATATGACCGATTTCTCTCATAATAAAATAAAATAATAATGAAAGGAAAATGATAACATAATGTTTGTCATCTATCAACTTTCCATTATATTAAAACATTAATTAAAACTGAAAGCAACAAAAAATATAACAGTCTAAAATATTGTTAAAAAAGGTCTATTTAGAAAAAAGTAACACAATCCTAGGCATTTTATATCTACATGTTATATAAATGGCGGCGCGTCGTCTGTTGAAGTGTCAAATGGAAATGACTTTCGATCTTAGTATTAAGTTTTTTTCTAGTCTGCCACAGAAGTCTTAAGAAAAAAACAAACAATGAGGTTTTATTTCATATAATATGTATACTTAAATGATCATAAATCGTGATCATTAACTACCAAACCTATTTTATATTTAAGAAAGTAACTTTCAGCGCAAAATATTCAGTAACAACAAAGACTTTCATAGAAAAACTTCACAATTAAGTTTGTTGACGTCAACATATGTCAAAGTTGGTCAGTGATAACTTTAATGTATAATGCTTGTGTATTATAAAGTTCTGTGGGCACCAAATACGACACAAAGCCTCAGACGAACTGCAATTAGTCCTTGAATTAATTTATAGCTATGTCGGCGTGAACTTGCGAGCCGAGGTGAATCACGACGGGTTGCCAGTGTACTGATGCATTTAATACAAATATTACAACTTTCAACACAATTAAAATAAAGTAAAATCAATATAACTTAGATTTAGTATATTTATATTTTATGCAAATTACTTTAGTTAAAAAATGTAAGTATTTGTTTTTTTAATAGGAATGCTGAAAAAAAATGCAGTATTTATCAATAGTAGCAATAAGGAAACAAGTTTAAAATGAATAAATATAAAATTATTCAACACCATAATAGTAAATAGTTCATAATATTCCCCAATTATCGGGTATTTCTCGAGTGTGTCCACATTCCCACCCCGTCTCCCGAGTGCTAGTGTCCCGCGTGTCGCCGCCACCGCTTCATTCGCTCGCCAGCCAGTGAGTCGGCTGCGTGTGTCCACTGTCAACAAACAGTTCATTAAGATGAGGGAGATCGTGCACCTCCAGGCCGGCCAGTGCGGGAACCAGATCGGCGCTAAAGTGAGTACAATATTTGACATTTCATAACCTTCGTTTTTTTTTTTTAATTTAAAACTTTAACTGCCAGTTTTTTATCTAACTATAAGAACTCTTTGGTTACTTTATTTTATCTATTTATTTACTGGCAGCGTATTTTATTTTTAAATTGTGATATACCCTCTATAGTTGTATAATTTATAATAATAATGGTGTCATATCAAATAACTTTCGTATGCATTCTGTTTGTCGCACACACCATTGTATTAAACGCTGACTTATTGCAACCGATTCGGTCTAGTTTCGACGTCATCTAAATTTTTCTTTATGGATAAAAAAATATTGTGTTATAACTTTTCTATTATATTTGATATAATTTCAATAAATAATAATTTATTATATTGTTGGAATATATATTTGGACCCTCTTTAACGAGTTGGTGCCAAAAATAATTAATATTTCGTTGAGAATAATAGAAAAAAACATATGAATAGGATGGATCCCCGCGGCTCTGTGGGGTCTTAACTCTTAACAGATTTTTGAATAGTAGTTTCTCTCAACAATCACGTTGTGATCGTGATGGTGCGATTACTTTATTGGAGCTAATTTAATGCTTTCTAAAATTCTAAAGATTTTTTTATTTCACTAAAAAACTTTTATGAAGAAAACGAAAAACACAAAAAACTTGAGAAAGTATTGTGAAACGTACCATGGAACAGATTCATAACAATTAAAATAAAAATAAATTAATTCTCACGATTGATATAAGGAAAAATTCAATTATATTTATGATAATAAAACATATGTAAACATATATATGTACATAATATTTCTTGTATGTAAGTCAACTTTATTCAGAATAGTACACATCAAAATATCCAAAATAATAAAAGTAATATAATACAAAGAAACAGTACATATAATTGCCCTATCGAGTTCAAGCGATAACTCCAGCCATTATTAAAGAAGCGACCGTTAGCGACCGTTATTATTTTATCATCAGAACACTTTCAAATATGGAACACGACGCCATTACATGGAATGAACGACAATTAAACATACTACTTTCATCATAAAACTTACAGTCTGGGAAACACGGATGGATAACTAAAATATATTAATACATAGCATTAAACAATACATTCATTGTCAATTATCAGTCTTAAGAAATTATTATAGCTTATCAAATATATTATGAATCACAAGTTATAAATATATTTTTTCATTAATACTGTACCTATGAAACAATGTTGCTATTATAAAAAACACTTATGATATAATTGAGCATATTCATATTTCCTATTCTAGATGTCAGAAAGAAAGATTAATTAAAAAGTACAGTTACAGTAATAAAAATCATATTATAATTCCATTAAACTTTTCCATTCCGTATGTATGAACTGAGCAATTTAGTTTTGCATCATTTATATATTCCAAATAACAAACAATAAACATGAATATTATTCTGAATAAAGTTCTATCATTGATTTATTGTCATTGGCTGTATATTTATAATTCATTGCCTGTTTGAATCACAATTAAAAAACATATCCCGATGTTCGAAATTCAAATAGTTCGTGATTCACGCGTGGAAGTAGCCAGCCGTGCGACGAATATGTCATTAGGGACAATGGCTGTCTTCGGACGCCATTGTGACGAATATCCTGCGGCTGCTTATTTGGATTTTTTGACGTCTTAATACGAACAATTAACAATAATCACGCCGCGGAAGGACAAGCTCGCTCTCAATAGCCTTTTAAAGTTAATAGCTCTGTAAGTGCTCCAAATGTATGAAGTTAACGTCTTAACTATGGCTTTGTTCTTATAAGAGTTGTATTATCTAACTGGTCTTGTGTGTCTCAGTGTTAAGTTAGTTTTGACTCGTTAAATTTATCACTCGGTAGGAGGGTGTGCTCTAATTATAAGTGTCTGGCTCTAAACGGCGCCGACTAATAATAAACCTGGGACATACCGACTTAGAACCATTTTAAGTTATAATGTTGCCATGTTTGTAAAATTACCCAGATTTAGGGGGAATTGAGTAAGTTGTTTTAATATATATTTTCTAGTAACGTTAATCTCATGATTCATCGTTGTGAATTCAGTGTAATCTATATCTGTTAGTCAGTGTTCAGAGAAAGGTAGGGCCGAGTCAGACGACTTTTATTACCCTAGTCTAGTTCGTGACTAATGTCTGCAGTCTGAACTTATTCTGTTTAATATATTTTTTATTTCTTGTACAACAGACTGATAATAATTTTATAACTTAGTTCAAAAGGTTATATCGCAAGTTTATCTATATTGTGTACCAGTTAATATTTGTTACAGAAGTAATTAAACATTAATTCAATATAAAATTAATTACAACTTTTAATAACAAAAAACTCCTTTGTTATATATAAAATAATTTAAATAGTAATACATATAAAACTAACTTTATAAATGTGTTTATAACAAAGCAGTTTGTTCTACGTTAAGCGAGACCTTGGTATATTTTCTAGTTATTTTTTCTCCAGTTCACATCTAAGTTCAACGTCCGAACATGTAATTGCAATGCCACAGTCTCCTTTTTGTTTGTCTGTTCCGTTTTTCCTGTTGCGGTTTAATATTATATAGAAATAACTTCAAAATAATATATTGATTTCAAATATTCTGAATATAATACGTGTTACACTGTGAATAACTTGGTTATACGACGCTGGAGGAATATAAAATATCCTCTTTCTATTAAAAGACAGTCGTCGAGTCGTGGATCTTAAAATAATATCTTTCCTTCCCCGACTGCATCTGAAGACGGGCGGAAACCAACACGTAGTGACGTCTTTGGGCTTGAAAATCCTTATCTTTAAATAAACATGCATATCAATATTAAATATAACAAATATTAAAATTTTCCCCATCATTATACAATTTCCAAAGCTATCATTATTGTTACCACAAATATAAATTCAAACTACTAACGTCTTACAAAATTTGGTGTAATTTTACAGCAATTGCCGCTTTGAAATTGTTAATAGACAAAAATTACATGTTATTAGAGTACGCTATGCATCGTAATGTGTGCTAACCGTATTAGAGCCATTTCTTCAATTAGTGCGGAGCGATCAAAATGAATTTGCTGTTTTATTTAGATACTTTCACAGTTTATTCCACTACTAGCTTTCCGCCCGCAGCTTCGCCCGTGTGGAGTTCGGTTATATCGCGTTTCCAAGAGAACGTTTCAAAAATCTGAGATAAAAACTATCCTATATTCTTTCTCAAGATCAACTCTATCTCTGGACCAAATTTCATTAAAATCAGTTCTGTGGTTTAGGCGTGAAAGCGTAACAGACAGACAGAGTTACTTTCGTATTTATAATATTAGTAGGGATTTTATTGAAGGGCTCGGAAACATATTAGTGATGAAAATATAATAAAAACACTCGCTGGATTTAGCATCTAGTTGCTATGTAGTTTGTTTAAAGTTTTTTTGAACATTGTTTTGGATGTAGCTCGTCTCTTCACAGCATCTGTTTCTTTTTATGCCTTCTGTAACATTATCCCGGCTCTTATGTTGTTAAACATGTTAATCACTTTACAGCTTAAGAATACACATCCTCTTTAGATTTATATTTAGGATGAAAAATCAAAACGCCGGATATATCTTAGTTTATAGATGCGTCCATTTATTTAGATTATACAGGGTGACTGGTGAATTACTATCGATATTTGAGGACGTGATATTTGACGATCATATATGACAAAATAAAAATTAATATAACATAAATATTAATAAACTTCTGAGTAAAGTTAACCAAAAGTTATGTAATTAATTACGCATCGTGTGCACACCCTACAGATTAGGTATACTTTCACACACACATACGCGTGCGGCGGCGTGTTGTTGTATCAGCACGCCGCCGCACGCGTCCACACTTGGAACACTTGGAACGTGTACACACTTTATTTATTTATGCGGAAATTTTGTCAAAAATTAAGTGCCTAATTTTTTTACATAATTCGAATGAGAATCATGTACCGAGTATGCTCCTTAAATATTGATAGTAATTCACCAGTCACCCTGTATAAATAAGATTTATTTACAAATTCTTCGCCTTGGTATTTTATGGTGTCTTATTATGGCAACACTGCAGGAGATGCACAAAAATAATGCATTGACAAGTGTCAACGTACGCGCGACGCGCTGCAACGAAGACTTGTAGTGAGAATGTTACTGTGTTTATATTTAAAGTGATGTCCGTGAGAGACTTAAAGATATTTTAAAACAATGGTGGACAAGATTTATCGTATTTACACTATATTTAATACTCCGCGTCTATCGGAAATAACGAGTTGACAAGATCGTGTTATGTAGAAGTATTTTTTGTTTTTCGTAACACAATAAGTATATGTAGCCAATGATTTCAAAATAATAGATACCGAATATTGTAACAGATATGTTGTATTGTAATATATTACAAACTTCCGTGTTATTCGATTTAATTACACAATAATGAGATACATTATATTTGCCGCCATTTTTGATCAAACTAAAATGTTATTGAAATTATCATCACATTTGTAATCGATATAATAGCATTTTAGGCTTAATAATGAAATTGACTTATATGTAAACCACTAATAAGAGTAATTTAGTATATTAAAGATATCGAAAAAGTATTCAATAATAGTTCGTATTTAATAGTATTAGGGTTGAAAATAAGTACGAGTGATGGTATCGATTAATAGTTACGGACTTACGGTAAACATTTTTAATGAAGGTTTTTCCAAAGGAAACCCGCGGTGAGGTGGCGAGTGACCAGGAACACTACACATGTATACAAATATAAATTACTTTCTTAAACTATTTGAAACTTACGACAAAATGATTTTTTTTAATTTTGAGTTGTGGCTTCACTCACATTGAATTTGTAAATTGTGTTTACTTCATAAAAGTAATGTGATTTAAGATTTTCTTAAAAAACGATTTTGATACAGAATGTTTCGGAACTCTCTAAAGTCTAATTTAATGGTTTATTTGGTTTTATATATACATACATATTTTATAATACGTCCGCTCTATTTCAGAAAGATATTATTTTGGTTCATCGTGATTAGTGATCGCAAGCTATGATTTTAATATAATAAAAAATGTGATATATAATATGTTATTAAAATGTAACGTTACATAAAAGGTAAAACTTTTGAACTGAATTATTGTCAGTTAGTTTAAACTTCAGCCTGAAAAGTATGAATAAATGAATACATTATAATTCATGATAACTTACCCTTGATAAATATTTTAAATCCTATCAATATTAATGTCTCGTCTCCATCGATGTATCCGCATCATATATTTTCCTGGCGCCGTCAGTCTGTTTTCGTTACTAGCTAAATAGTGTTGTGAAAAAAAAATACAGTGAGTTACAATATAATATATATAAAACCTTTTTTGACGTCTGACATTGGCTGTATGTATTTTGAATAAAGTTTTTAATATAAATAAAAAATAACATGTTTGTGTGTCCGTGGAAATATCGATTGCTTTCTAGGAAATTGTGTAACTAAAGGTTTCAACGGAGGGGCTGACCGTCGAGCGGACTTCAGTATCGATTACACCCAGGTCGAGTTTTACATTATTTATAGGGCCCTAATTAGACCTTACTAATACTATACGGATAGAATTACGATTCATTAACAATATCTCTTTTTTTGTAATAAAAATAAATTCGCGCCTGTATATTGTCATACTTCGTAAATTCCTTGACAATTAATTTCTGTATTAAATCATATAATAAAATTAATAAATTGCTATTAATAAGATTAACCAATAAATATTTGAACGTCAAAGATTCCTCGTCGTGTCAACGAGCTGAATTAAATTTGATTACATCAATAGAGGTTTGACTTAATGGACGACTTTCATCAAACGAACAATCAATGTATTAAGTATTCTTTGATTTTGTATTTATATACACGTATAAACAAAAATCAAATTAATGTTGCCGTACGCTCTTTATCGTACACTGCTGAGTTTACGAGTTACGACAAGTTACTCGTCACACTACATACGCAGCGTTAACAGTTTACATTCACAAATTCATATTGTAGTATTAAAATAGGTTATTGTATTAAAAACAAGAAACGCTGCGTGTATGACGATATAAACTCGTGCTAAGCATAATAAAGTCTTTAAGTTTAGAAAGTGTAAGAAAATAACTTAAAACAATTTCAAGGTTTTTCTATTAATAAATGTTTCTATCGGAATGCTTCAAATTTGTTGATTTATATTCGCAAAAAAATGTCAGCTGATGGCAAATGCTCTTTTTAACTTCAAGACGCTCCTGGCTTCACTTGAAAAGGAAGTATATTCTATATAAGTTTAAATTATTAATAATATGATATAATCTTGATGGTTGACGTTCCTTCCTGCCCTTGAAAAATAACATCTGTTTCTATTAACACCTACTAAAACAATCAACCAGAGACAATATCTTTTTTTTCTATTTAACTTCATTCGTACATGGATTGAAGAATGTTCTGCCAATCTCAGCATTTCTATTTAATGTTTAAATTATAATATTTTGACTGGAAAAAACACGGAAGAGTTGGTCTAATGAAATAAAGGCGTTTTGTTTATTCCACATATACTATTAGCACATGGAAATACAATAAAAATACATTAATAATATTGTATGCGTCTCAGTAAATTTTTTAAAGAAAAAAAGAAGATAATACTAATGTTTAATGTCAAAGTTTGTTAACCTCAACACTATGTAAGTATTGCATGTTCATTTTCACTGGTGCCCTTTAGACTCGGCGATTATAGATCCATATACATAAATAGACATGAAATTCCCTTTTAAAACGATAATATTCAATAAGAAGGAAAAAAAAACTTTTCAACTCATTATTATAAATTAAGATAACTCATCCACACTTAAGAAATTACGAAAAGTTTTAAGTATTTAGACAAAATCTGCATGAATAAGTAGTATTTTATATAATATTTTAAACACTAATTAAAATAGCGGTTTTTAAGAGCAATAATATGGAAACGATTTTTGTCAAGCTTGTCGAATAGGACATCGTATAATAACAAAAATATACTATACTTTAATGTTCAACAGTTGTACAGATAAAACTTTATGGGAGGGATACAGAAAGTAATGTATTCCTAGCTGCTTTTATGATTATTTCCTTAGTCAGGATTTGTTTCGTAAATTATCCTATAATATTTTTGCTTTTTTTAAATATGTCTTCCATGAACAACCTTTGAAGTCATTAAACATTTTATTTTATTGAAATTTATTTACATGGCCGAGGTCCATCACTGCAATTATTTTTATGATAACATCAATAGCTGTTATTTAGTGCAATTTTGTAATATTTATAATTGTTACATTGTTAAAATAAAGCAATTTTAGGTATTAATTTATTAACATACTTTATAGTACTTTTAAAAGATAATTGGGATATAATAATTTTATCCCTTAAAATTTTTCCGTATCATCTTTTATTTGCGTTTATATATTACATATCGACTACTGCTATTTTCAGTACTGATGGATAAAATCTATATTTAAATTATAAATTTGTTTAAACAAGTACATACATGTTCGAACATGTTTTATTATACTTCAAATAAATAATAATAGTTACGTTCCTGCTATGTCGGATCGCGACACATGTCAAATGAGTAACAAAATGGCGGACACAGACAAATAGTCTGTTTTATAATAACACGATATATTTAATATAAATATGTCCGTTTGTTTTCGTTATATTCAGATATTTGTGTATACATTGCTGTGAGTTCCGGAGATCGGTCGTAAGTCGTAACTAACACCTACTTCCTCAAATGTTTACACGTTTATTATTAGATATCCCTCAGTTACGGATTACTGTGGCTCGTGAACGTATCTTATGTTTCAAAAACTAATTAACAATAAAATATCCAGTCGAAATAAACGTTAATTCGTTTAAAATAAGTATGTATATGTATAAAAAAACACAACTGTCAGTACATTAAAGTTTGTGTAATTGCGTTTCATTTTAAAGGTCGTCGTGTTCTAAATGTGGTTGTGATTTCAGTTCTGGGAGATTATATCGGAGGAGCACGGAATAGACCCCACGGGAGTGTACCGAGGAACCAGCGACCTGCAGCTGGAACGGATCTCTGTCTACTACAATGAGGCCTCTGGTAAGAAAATCATTTAATGATGGTCCATACTCTCATAGAAATAACTAGAAGATAGTTTTCTTGAGGTCATGAAGTATCTTGATGCTAACAGAATTAAAATTATCATTTTTAATGTATTATGGCAACAGAAAATAGCTATTTTCTATGAATCGTGAATTTTCTGTTATTATTCCATAAACGACCTTGTTATAAATAAATTATTAGTTTAAGTGAAAAATATGTCTATATAATTAAAATGGCGTATAAATGTGTCATTGAAAACAAATATACTATAACTAAGTGGTTCATTAAATGACCATAAAAAGTTTCAAATCGTTGGAACTTTAGTTAGACTGCAATTTATTTTTACAAACATAATATTTACCGACAAAAAGGCTACATTTATTTTGTCCCGATAGTAAATAATTTTAATTGATTGTGTGCATCAATTCTTAAAAACAATGAGATAAAAGAGTTTAAAATAGAAAATAATTAATTAACTATAAGTTTCCACGATACTTAATGTTTTATTCTATCGCTTTTTTAATAAAAAAAAACAATAATTAGAATCGTCGCCATATTTGTGTGTATTTTAAATACTTAGAAACTCAATATTAAAAAAAATCTAATCAATTCAGACTAAATATCTATTGTTTGGGCTTTGACAATATAAAATAACAAATAAAATATTAAATCACACATTTTGTCGCCTTTCATGGAAATATGATACTGATAATTCAGCAGTTTTTAACATCAACTAACGTAACTAAAAATGGCGGACAAACAATTTTAACAATTCATGTATTATACTGACCGCGCTCGATGGTTACACTCCATGTATAAAATGTTGGAATAAAATTAAATTTAATCATTTTAAAGCAATGATGCTGGAAAATGTAACTGTACATTAAAAGATCGGCCGAGCGTGAACAGACAAGATCTGGCGACGCGCTACTAACGCCATCTTGTTACGAATCAGGAAATACAAAATGGCCACGCTTTAACATGCGTTTCAAATATATTCTTTATTACACACATTTCAGCTAAAAAAACAATAGGAATAATTAATTTAGAGTTTTAATGAGCCGTCTTTTAATATTGTAATGTTCACGAGACTGTTGATTCACCCGAGTTTAAAAAGATTAATCTCTGACAAGCGGAAATAATTATATGATACTTAGACTAGTCAACGGCCGAAAATGATTCACAATCATACCACAATTATAACATACAAAGAATCTAAAAGGAATCAAATTTAACGTTTTATAAGCTTTGAGTTTTGACCCGCAATTTTTTCACCACACAATTAATAATTAATCGTAATTAAACACGATAATGAGTTCATTGACCCCGCGACGCCCTTAACGTGATGACTCACAGATACTTTATTAGACTGATAAAATCTACAATTCAAACATGAGAGATGCAATCAGCGCTGAATTAATAACGCTTCCTGGACCTGCAGATAGTTAGTTGAACAGAAAACAAGCAATTAATGATAAATGTATAACAAATGAGAACTTTGCCTACTATTAAATTTAATGTTATCATATTGACCTCTAGAAAATTGTAATGACATTCCTTAAACATTTTTGGTTATCTTAAGCCGCTGACGTAGATGGTTACTTTCTTAACAGTTGCGACGGCGGAGAACGGGGGCAAATACGTCCCCCGCGCCATCCTCCTCGACCTGGAGCCGGGGACCATGGACGCCGTCCGCTCCGGGGGCTACGGCCAGCTGTTCCGTCCGGACAACTTCGTGTTCGGACAGTCCGGCGCAGGGAACAACTGGGCCAAGGGTCACTACACAGAGGGAGCCGAACTCGTCGACGCCGTACTCGACGTAGTGCGCAAGGAGTGCGAAAACTGCGACTGTCTCCAGGGCTTCCAACTGACACACTCACTGGGAGGCGGTACCGGGTCCGGCATGGGCACGTTACTCATCTCCAAGATCAGAGAAGAATACCCCGACAGAATCATGAACACATACTCAGTAGTACCTTCCCCTAAAGTATCGGACACCGTCGTAGAACCTTACAACGCGGTGCTCTCCATCCATCAGCTAGTCGAAAACACAGACGAAACATATTGCATAGATAACGAGGCCCTATACGACATCTGCTACAGAACACTCAAAGTGCCCAACCCGACCTACGGCGACCTCAACCACCTGGTGTCGCTCACCATGTCCGGAGTCACTACCTGCCTCAGGTTCCCCGGACAGTTGAACGCTGATCTCCGCAAGTTGGCCGTCAACATGGTCCCCTTCCCTCGTCTCCACTTCTTCATGCCGGGCTTCGCCCCCCTCACATCTCGCGGCAGCCAGCAGTACCGAGCCCTGACCGTCCCCGAGCTGACCCAACAGATGTTCGACGCCAAGAACATGATGGCCGCCTGTGACCCTCGCCACGGCCGCTACCTCACCGTGGCCGCCATCTTCCGTGGCCGCATGTCCATGAAGGAGGTCGACGAACAGATGCTCTCAATTCAAAACAAAAACAGCAGCTTCTTCGTGGAATGGATCCCGAACAACGTGAAGACCGCCGTCTGTGACATTCCTCCCAAGGGTCTCAAGATGTCTTCCACGTTCATCGGAAACACGACAGCGATCCAGGAGCTGTTCAAGCGTATCTCGGAGCAGTTCACGGCTATGTTCAGACGCAAGGCTTTCCTCCACTGGTACACGGGCGAGGGCATGGACGAGATGGAGTTCAACGAAGCCGAGAGTAACGTCAACGACCTGGTGTCCGAGTACCAGCAGTACCAGGAGGCCACCGCGGAGGACGACACGGAGTTCGACCAGGAGGAGATGGAGGAGCTGGCTCAGGACGACCACCACGACTGATGGGGCTCCGCGTCGAAATCATTTCATATATTAGAGGCTAAGTCGCGTGCATTTTCGTATGTATCATAATACCAAAGTCTCCCAACCTTGGACCAATGATGGCGCACTGAGCGGTCGCGCGGGTGACCGGCTCGGAGTGCGGCTCGTCAACTATATAAAGTATTACTCGGAAATCTGTATTAACTATACAAGAGACGTACCAATCTATGCATTTCGTACATTTAAGTTATTGTCTTGGATGCTTTTATATATTAATTTATAATTAAATGTTTTAAACGAATATTGTTCTTTTTATTTGTCAATAAATATGAATCTATACAGGAGACATTCTATTATCTTAATTATATTTTAAGCGACGGTCAAGGTCGCCTGACGATTCATTTTCTAGATATGAGGTTCTCGATTGCTTTTTTATCTCAGTTGAGATCGTGAGATCTAAGATAAGCAGAATTATTTAAAGAACAGTGACCTTCTGAAACTGATTTTTAATTGACATTTCAAGTCTCCAACATCGACCAAACTAAGTTATTACCTGACCTTAAACTATTTCAGGTGATAGTGAGTGCTGAGTGAACTTTCTAGAAAATAATTACATTCTTTAATGTTTGATATAAAATATTACCAAAACCGACATTCACTAACAGGCTTCAATATGATTAAATCTCATAGAGAAACAAAGTGGATGACATTTCAGTATTATATAAAACATTAGTTATATACCTACAGATTGTATTTAATATTTACTAAATAATTATCCTTCCTCATACAAATATATTTATTTACCAATATTACGAATACATCCTAAAATAAATCTGTTTACCTTCCCGCACTTGAATTATTGAACAGACTGAAATGTGATTAGTTATAAGAAACAGCATTTCTCATGATGACTTCCTGGTGAAAGGAACTGAAATTGATGATGAAAAGACACAAAAGATATAATAGACAAATATTTATTTATAATCTGTCGAGTAACTTAATATTTACATGAACACAAGACTGAAACATGGCCACAGGCTGGTCGGACATATATGTTGTATGAAGGCAGTGACTTAACTTACTGTACGAGTATTAGAATGTCATTTGATAATCATGTACATAATTATTGTCTTTTCATACTTACAACATGACACATGGGAATATATATTTTGCAAAGAAACATTAAGGAAACCGATAACTAGTTGACAGTAAGTAACAATAACAGCTTTATATTACTACAACATTCCCAGGAGTGGAAGCGATGTCATTCAGCTAGCCTCTCAGATACATATGTATACAATACACCAGCTCCACTCTTCAATGACGGTGTACATTTAACAAGTGACAGAGATTCAACAATATAAAAGATGATAAAAGCATTCGTCTCTCATAGAATATGTAAAATAAACAGTTCCTTATACTAATGTATTAATAACTACACTTATACACACAATTAAAATGAAATGCATTACAGTTGGGACTCCACAGTCGAGTTATTTACATGTTACAATACTAGTCGGCACATCATCACTATACTAGACCTACCTACTACAACTATCTACATATTTATATTTTGAGTCTTACGTTAAATGAAACAAAAAATATAAAAAAGTAATAAAAACTAAGCGAACATTTGTTACATTCATAAACTATAACTTTTAATGGAAGCATAATATGACAAACGAAAATATATAAAGCTTTCTCGACTTATATAATATAACTATTTACATATGGCATGAAATGGCACCGGCCATAAACATAAACAGAACGTAATTTCGTTGAAATTATAAATGGCACTTTACATTTCGATTAACAGAAACTATTTTAACTTCAACTTCACTTCACTGTCAGTGTCACACATAAACTTCAGTGTCTTCGTCTAGTCTGATAGCGTTGTCGTTGGCTGCTAGTTTGAGGAGCGTCTTCTTGATGCGGAGCGCCGGCAGACGGACCGAGGGGTTCTGGTGCCAACACTCACGCATCAGACTGAACATACCCTGCATAGTCTGAAACATTAAGTGATGATAATATATGATTATTGAGGTACATATTAGATTGTTATTGTGATTTAAATTGTAATAAATCACATGAAAGTATTTAAATTTGACCAAGTCAATCTGGCTGGTATGTATGTACTACAGCTGAGATACTTTTAATTAAATGTATGTATCAATAATTGTCAATAATATTAACATATACAAAAAACTATTTATTTTTTAAGTTTTTGTTGTTGGATATAGTGAATAAAAATTTACATGACATATATACATATAAACTAATATATCCTAGAGATGAAACCTCTCATCATTCAATGTATTCACTGTGCATGTCGGGTCCATCGTTGTAGTGAGAGGAGCTTCAACAGTGACTGGGACTTGTGACCCAGGTGTAGGTTTAAGAGCCCTTTTCTAACGCGTTAACTCACCTCCACTGTCCAGCTCCTCTCTCTACATAACAAAATTTGAAAAGAACCTACTAGGGCTGCCTTCGATGTACGTTCCGAGAATGCATTAATGTGAGTTCTGGACAGGCCCAAGTCTTTTAGTAGGTTGTAGAGAGATTTAGCTATTATACCTCTCGCTCCCACTTCTACAGCGTACAAATCTACTACGAACCTATTTCGAGTGACTTCGTTTGTGAGCTCGTAATATTTATTGACCTTGATGGCAGGGTCTTTGGGGATGTTGGTTACCCAAGGGACCGTAAGCTCTATCATCACTACGCGCTTTAAAATTCGCGAAAACAAAAATATATCCGGTCTGGAGGCCGACGCACAAATATTATATACTGACCGGGTGTGTGTCAGTTGGTATCCCGGGCCTAGCGTTGTCCACACACACTATTTTCCTCATATCATCAAGTCCGGGGTCCTGTGGAGCCCACTCGTAGTACGGGGGGCGGCGTCCCCGACCCGACACTCGTCTACACACCTCCCAGAACACTAGGGACAGTGCGTAGATGTCACACCGCTTGTAGGACTCCAGACACACGGGGCTCATACTGGAATGACACACATATACTTGTTTAAAGGCACATCAACAATATAAATGCAAACATTTAACATATGTGTCACAGTTTAACTTATATGTATATACATCTTTATACAGGGTGACTGGTGAATTACTATCAATATTTAAGGAGAATACTCGGTACATGATTCTCATTCGAATTATGTAAAAAAAATAGGTACTTAATTTTTGACCTAATTTCCGTATAAATAAATAAAGTGTGAACACGTTCCAAGTGTTCCAAGTGAGGACGCGTGCGGCGGCGTGCTGATACAACACCACGCCGCCGCACGCGTGTGTGTGTATACCTAATCTGTAGGGTGTTCACACGATGCGTAATTAATGACATAACTTTTGGTTAACTTTACTTAGAAGTTTATTAATATTTATGTTATATTAATTTTTATTTTGTCATATATGATCGTCAAATATCACGTCCTCAAGTATCGATAGTAATTCACCAGTCACCCTGTATAATTCTTCTGTGAGTGTGGATGTCACTGAACTTCTCTCAAATGACAGGACCGATTTTGAAGAATTTTTTTGTGTGTGTTCAAGGGGATCTGGGAATGGTTCAGATTCACAATTTTGTCAAGTGGACAATGCTTTCTTAATTAATTTTTAATTAATTAGTAGTTGTTGATACAAACGTTTTTTTTTGACAGTAGATTTGACAACTAATTAATATGTCAATCATTCTGTCGCACTTCAAAACACGGAGATTTATGGCTTAAAGGTAAACTCCAAAAATATAACAGATATTTCTTGATTATAGAACGATACGAAGTTACGATGTGCTTAACATTTATGTAACAGGTGTTACAAACAATATCTTATATATAAAATTCTCGTGCATTATTGGTTCATTCCGTTACTCATACAATTTTGTGAGCATGTTGAGAAAGTCTGAGAATCTTCCAACATTTATTTTTCATACCCCTAAAAGTTATAAAGGTTGTTCACACCTAAATTATATTTTTTTATTTTTTGGGCCAATTTTTTTAAAATATAATATGGCATTATAAATACATACAACAAAAAATTATTACTTTATTTATCACCAATCCCCATTTCATTAAATGGCAAATCAATGTTTGCCGGGTCAGCTAATCTTTATAGTATATTATAATTCTTCTGTGAGTGTGTATGTCACTGAACTTCTCTTAAACGACTGGATCGATTTTGATGAAATTTTTTATGTGTGTTCAAGGGGATCTGGGAATGGTTTAGATTCACAATTTTGTCCGCTGGACAATGTTTTTTTAATTAATTTTTAATTTATTAGTAGTTGTTGATACAAACTTTTTTTTTTGACATTAGATTTGACAACTAACTAATATGTTAATCATTCTGTCGCACTCCAAAACACGGAGATTTAAGTCTTTAATAGGTAAACTCCAAAAATATAAATAAAAAAACGTAACAGATATTTCTTGATTATAGAGCGATACGAAGTTCGCCGGGTCAGCTAATATATATATAATATTGTTTGTAACATCTGTTATGTATATAATATCAGTTCATTGTCCACTCCACACTACACTAGTTCCCGGCCCTACCTTCCGTCCAACATCTCAGGGCTCATGTATCGCGGCGTCCCCCGTCGCGGGTCGTCCTCGTGTTCCCTGGTCACGGCCAGCCCCAGGTCCGCTATACAACACTCTCCGTTCAGCTTCACCAGTATGTTCTTGGACCTTATATCACGATGTGCTATGGCCGGTTTACCCTGGATAAAGAATGTATGGTGTTATATTAGGTGAATAAGTATTCTACTATTATTCAGACATCACTGATTAATGCAATCCCAAAACAGGATTGATGTCAGGCAGGCGGCTGGTTGTAAAGACAATTAGCTAAAACTATTCACAACATGTGAGGCAGGAAAAATTGCCAGGTAAAAAAGAAGAAGGTATTAAGTGACTGATTATATTATTACCTAAGTTTCTGTTAATTTTTGTCCTTCTTCTGTATCATTATAATGAATATTGATGGATCTTTAATGAAGTTCCTCACACATGATAATAAAACATTAAGCCGCTGACCATTTCTATTGCTTTAACACACTATACATTTATTTCATATACTAGCTTTTGCCGCGGCTTCGTCCGCGTGGAATAGTTACTTCCGACAGATTTTTGGTTCTTCCCACATAGTTCCCGTTCTTGCGGGGTTTTCGGAATGGTCGAGTTCCCGTAGAATTTTCAGGATGAAACCTATGTTTTTTTTATTAATAATGAAGTACTCTTAACCAATAACATATTTATTTGTTTATATGAATAAAGATTCATATTATGATTTTGATACAACTTAAACAAATTATTTCGACAAAATTAGGTACCATAAAAACGGTTTTTGTGAGTTAATCTTAAAAGATAGACATATACTGTCGCGAACTGTTTTTTAGATCATTAAAAGAGCTATTATTCTTTGATACATATTTTTTGTGTATCTTGAACCGTTTTCACGGCGCACGCAACGGAAGGCTTCAAAGATGAAATAATTTCTCCCGTTTTTTACACATTTACCACTATATCTTTGCTCCTATTAGTCGTAGCGTGATGTTATATAGCTCACAGCCTTCCTCGATAAGTGGACTATCCAACACAAAAAGAATTATTCAATTCGAACCAGTAGTTTCGAAGATAAGCGCTTTCAAACAAACAAACAAACTCTTCAGCTTTATAATATTAGTATAGATTATATATATTGTTCTATATACCTGTGTGCCATGTATGTCCGTGTGTAGATGTAACAGACCCTTGACCGTAGACAGACAGATGAGCATCATCTGATGTCTGGTGAGGGTGGTGCGACTCAGGTACTCATACAGGGAGCCCAGCGGGTGGTACTGAGTTATGAGCCATAACTGAAACATAATAATATTAGTATGACACTTCAAATATTATGTAACATGTATTCAATAGAACAATATTAAAATTGTCATGTATGTATTGTGGTAAGTAAGATTGAATTACAAACTAATGTAATAAAATCAACTTAACATCACTTTATTATTTTAACAAAATTGAGCAAGTGTGACTAAAACATAACACATGAATTACGTACGCACAACATATTAAAAACTAAATGAAAATCGCCGGGGCGACATACATAGTTGTATGAATAAAATATATAACGAGTGACGCCGCTGAACGAAAACCAAGCTGTGTGAACCAGAAGATTCCTGATACCACACAAGCTATGGAATGGTATTGCTATCCTAACATCGGGTCAATCATGTAGTCTTAGGTGTAGGTTATAAGTTTAAACATGAAATTCTTATAATATACATATGTATAAGTTAGTTTCGTAGTTTTCTTGTAACCCCCCATTACCCTATATAACTCATGTTCATGTATCTTCTTGTTCAGTGTCAGTGTGTCTCTGTGTGTGCGTGTGTACCTACCTGTGTACAGCTGTTCCTGCTGGTCATGTCGCTCCCTATGTAGGCCAGTATGTTGTCGTGCCGCAGCAGCACGGTGCTGTACATCTCCGTCTCGCGCGCCCAGCTCGCCTCGTCTCTGCTGAACAAGATCTTCACGGCCACGCTGTCCGAGCACCACGAGCCGCGCCACACCTCGCCGTAACGACCCTACACACATACATATAATTTATAAACATATATTAAATAAATAAAATAATAATATACATATGATGGCACAACTCTAGATAATAATGTTTCGTAGAAATCAGCTTGTCATTACTTGATAGTGTCATGTCATACTGAGAAGATCAGAGATCTGTATTTAAGTTTATTATAATGAATATCTTTCAAATTCCGCCTCATACTAATTCTAATACAATCATGGTTCTTATATTATATTATAAAATATTTGTAATAAAATAATTCTAATATCGGTGTACGTACAAAACTTTATATTAACGACACGACGTAATGTGCGCAGATACAAGTTATAATAAAACTAAAAGTAAGTAGACATATTTTTCTATGGACAGAGCGGCAACATTCACAAAATGATCACAGTTGTACCCATCGACATATACTAATAGACATGCCTTAGAGATGAGAATTGTGGCACTCCGAAAGAAAGAGAGGAAACGAAGTTTCGGTCTATCTTTATCTCTCTCAAATTTATATGCCGTGCTTGTCATGAAAACTGAGCGCCAATCATCTATGAGGAAAGAGATAGTGCTAGACCGAAAGCATAGGCCATCTCTCTCACTCTTTTCAAATCAAAAAATTACTGCAGATTATACGTGTATGGCATGTCCATTAGTATAAGTCGATGGTTGTACCAAACATGTAATTATATTGCTAACATTACAACAGTAATCCTCCTGTATTCATCATAAGCCTAATTCTCTCTATGTCTGTCTTCCACTTGGCAATTTCCTAGCTTTAGCCAGGGTCTGCCTTACATGATATGAATAGTTTTTGGCTAATTGTTTTTACGACCGGCCGCCTGCGTGACATCAACCCTTTTTGGGAATGCATTAATCAGTGATGCCTAAATACTCTTAGAAAGTACATATGACTCGGAAAAATCCCATTGGTACTTGTTTGGGCCAGGATCGAACCCACGCCCTCGTGTATGAGAGGCGGGCCCTTTAACCGCTAGGCCACCACTGATGTGTATGTCTGTCCGTACTAACCTTCCCGAGCCTCTCAATGAGCGACACCTGCTTGGCGAGCGTCCTCTGCACCATGAGCGGCTGCCCGGAGCCCGAGCCGCTGGTGGCGGACCCCTCCAGGTACTGCCTCAAGGTGGAGTCGCCCGCAGCCACCGCTTGGAGGGCGCACGCTTGGGAACCCTCCGCTCCTACGTAATACACATATATAACTAAAGTTATGTATAGATCTCTCTATCTGGCAACATATGTATATATGTAATCACGGAATTATATACAAATCCTAGGATATGTGTATAATATAATTTATTTCATACATGTCAGTAAGATTTTAACTACATACATACATTTCTGTTAACACACTCACATATATCCTACTAATATAATTGCGAAAGTTTTTGAGTGTGAATGTATGTTTGTTATTTCTTGACGCTCAAACGGTTGAACCGATTTTGATAAAATTTTGTATACAGGAAGCTGACGACCAGAAATAACATATAGGTTATTTTACATCCCGGAAATCTCAGAAATCCGCGGGTAACACCGCGGGGCGCAGCTAGTATATATATTCTCTTTTTTAAAAACTTCCACATATATACTCCACACTAAATATCAAACAGAATTATCATCAACCAGATGGCAAAGTTAATGGCTCCTAAGTTTTTTAACTTTTTGTCTTGTATACATCCCTACTAATATTATAAATGCGAGAGTAACTCTGTTTGTCTGTTATGCTTTCACGCCTCAACCACTGAACGGATTTTAATAAAATTTGGTACAGATATAGAGTTGACCTTGAGAAAGAACATAGGATAGTTTTAATCCCAGATTTTTGAAAAGTTCGATATAACCAGACTCCACGCAGGCGAAGCTGCGGGCGGAAAGCTAGTTAATTATATTTATCTGATACCTTCATAATAAGCGCTTGTCACATGCGAGCTGTACATGTTGGCTGTGAAGTAGTTAGAGTCCACGCCCAGCTTCTGAGCCGCTCTAGATACACGGAGTCTGGAGAACAGACAATCATACTTAAATATTTATATACAATATGTAACTATAATTAGATATGATTAATTAATAATAATTATTATAATTGTAAGTAAATTTGAAACTGATTCATATTATTGGAATTATCTATACTAATATTACAAAGCTGAAGAGTTTGTTTGTTTGTTTGAAAGCGCTAATCTCCGAAACTACTGGTTCTAATTGAATAATTCTTTTTGTGTTGGATAATCCAGTTATCGAGGAAGGCTGTGGGCTATATAACATCACGCTACGACCAATAAGAGCAAAGATAATATAGTGGTAAATGTGTAAAAAACGGGAGAAATTATTTCATCTTTGAAGCCTTCCGTTGCGTGCGCCGTGAAAACGGTTCAAGATACAAAAAAATATGTATCAAAGAATAATAGCTCTTTTAATGATCTAAAAAACAGTCCGCGACAGTATATGTCTATCTTTTAAGATTAACTCAGAAAAACAGTTTTTATGGTACCTAATTTGGTCGAAATAATTTGTTTAAGTTGTATCAACATAATAATATTAATCTTTATTCAAATAAACAAATAAATATGATTGTGGTTAAGAGTACTTCATTGTGAATAAAAAAAACATAGGCTTTATCCTAAAAATTCTACGGGAACTCGACCATTCCGAAAACCCCGCAAGAACGGGAACTATGTGGAAAGAACCAAAAATCTGCCGGAAATCACTATTCCACGCGGACGAAGTCGCGGCAAAAGCTAGTTTTATATAATGTATATTGCGATATCCATTGATGATTCCAATAAACAAATATTAATATCATCTTTTAATATATATAAAACAAAGTTGTGTTATAATATTTATAACACAAGAAGGGGTTTACGGATATTTTTGATGATTGTTAGAGATATTTTTTTTATTATTTATTTTGTTCGATCGAAAAAAAATTAATACTTTACAATATCTGATAAAACATATATGTCCTCTTTGTGGAATAGAATTCGCCGGTCAGATACATTATCAATACATATATTAGCAATTATGAAATTAACGCGACAGAGACGCAGGTAAAAACTAGTATAATATACAACTACATATATATATTAATTCTCATGGTACCTGTGAGTCCTCCTCAGCACTAATATAATGAGTCCTCCTATAGCACTAACAGCTAGTACAGACAGCCCCACACTCAGCCACAGCTTCCAGGCCCCGCTAGTGAGTGGCTCGATAGCTGTGTCCGCAGGGGACAGTGGAGGGAAGGGCCCTTCATTACACATGTCACCCTGACAACATGTGATGTTCAGGGGAGCCGCTGCATGGCGCTTACTGTGACTGAAACATAATATATATTAAATAGTTGATTAAAATATAGTAATATAAAATTATATATGTGTATAAGTGTATTTAGTTGAAATATCAATTTTTTTTTTAATGGTATGTTATATTAGAACACAAGTTCATACAAACTGAGACAATAATAATAGTAATTATACTTAAATATACACTAAACAAAAAAAAAGATATAATTAATATACAAAACAAAATATATAGCTGAATTTTCTCAACTAAAAATTTATATTTATGAAAAACACTAACAATAAAAGTAGGCAAAAAAACTTTTTAAGTTAAACGGTTTTACGTCAAACATACATTGCAATGTTTAAGATAAATGTACTAAAAACCAAAAAAATAATAAAATAGATACAGTTTTTATGTCAATTTTGTTTAAAATTTATTTATTTTTAAATGGGAAAACAAAACATTTTAATTACTATATTAACAAAACTCACCAATTTTATAAAAAAATATTCATAAAAGCACAAAATTGTCTTAGAAATAATTTTTTATCGATCAACAGATATAAAAATATTTCAAGCTCGAGTTAACATTGTTAGTCAAAAATTAACTTAAACAATAATAACTTCTTCTAAACCGATTACAATGAAGTTAGTACAATTATTTAAACTATAAAAAAATAAAATTTGGTATCAAAATCAACAGACAGCCCCTTGTTTTAACTTTTCATTGATTGACAATTAATTATTATTAATTAACTATTTATTGCTGTTAATTGTCCCAGTTCCATGAATCTGAATTCCACAGTCAATAAAGTGTTAAATAGGGGGCATCCAATATATTTTCATCTTTTAATTATGAAAAAAAAAAAAAAAAACATTGTAACATTGATATCTGCTAATGTCTTACATATAGGACATTAAACGCCTTATCTCGTCTCAATATTCTGTAATGTCCTAAGCAGAGGACATAGAGAAAACATGTGATATAACATGCAAGATATTCTTCTATTTCAAAAAATAAAAGGTCAGTTTGTATTTGATTGGGTTCAGCTAGCAATAAATGCAAAAAAAATACAAATAAGATATAAATTACGTCAATTAAATACGATTAAACTTACTCCTGCTCAAGCGCATGTCAACACATTTGTTCTTTGATCAAATTTTGCAAAAAGAATCAACTCCCATCGTGTCAATTGATGCATTTTTACATTTTTAACAATCAGGAGGTTAAATTTAACATTATTTGTTTACTATAGATAAATTTATGTTTTATGACAGACAAACAATATATGTATATTAATCATATTACCCTTGTGTCTGATGTGTTCTACATGTGAACTGGTAATGATCCCGTCTAGACGAACAGCCTCTAGAGTAACGGAGTGTGCCGTCACTAGCTCGGACGGTCGACTTGAAGCAGTATAGGGCTGAGTTACACACTTGGGTTGAGTGGTCACAGTCCGGTGGCTCACATTGATGACATTTATATCTGAAATTGATAAAAATATATATGTAGTAATGAATAGATTCTCAATATATACTATATTAATACATAAAGCCTGTATAATGAACAAAAGCAGAGATTTTTAGTTCTTCTTGTATGTAAAGAAAGTTTTACATATATTGAGATCTAAGATTTTCGTGAATATTTTAAATGAAACTAATATTTTTTGGATGTACTGTGATTTTATTTTTGATAAAAATATACATACTCCTTACGTTTCGGCTACTTTACAGCAACCGTGATCACTTATAATGTAGTTTTTAATTTAAAGTAAAATCGCGTAGTACATCCTAAAAATATTAGTTTCAAGTTCTTGATAACAAATATTATATAATAACTATTTTGAATTCAATACTATGAATCAAGTTGAGACAAATATTTTAGATATACATAATATCTGTATACAGGGTAACTGGTGAATTACTATCGATACTTGAGGACGTGATATTAGACGATCATATATGACAAAATAAAAATTAATATAACATAAATATTAATAAACTTCTAAGTAAAGTAAACCAAAAGTTATGTAATTAATTACGCATCGTGTGAACACCCTACAGATTAGGTATACACAAACACACACACATAGGCGTGCGGCGGCCTGGTGTTGTATCAGCACGCAACCGCACGCGTCCACACTTGGAACACTTGGAACGTGTCCACACTTTATTTATTTATACGGAAATTTGGTCAAAAATTAAGTTCCTATTTTTTTTTACATAATTCGAATGAGAATCATGTACCGAGTATTCTCCTTAAATATTGATAGTAATTCACCAGTCACCCTGTATAACTTATACATTACTTGAAAACTTAAAATATATATTGTGTATACAAAACATGTTTTCCAATTGAAATACCTTTTCATGAATTTCCTTCTGCGGCAAAAACAAAAAATGTATATATGAATATTACAAGTATATAAGACAACAAAAACGTGAGCTCGTTTTGAATATAAATGACAACATTTATATTACAACACAAGCTTATCGCCACAACTTTGCCTGTAGAAACTTTTAAATATTTAGAGCTCTTAACAAAATTACATAGAATTTTTGAATAAAATACAACATAAATTTTATTCTAACATCTCTTAGGTACATCAGTACAAAGTTTCATTAAAATAAATTAAGTCATTTTAAGATGAAAGAGCAAATAACGTCTAGACATTAATAATTCTTTACAAACTTTAATATTAATAACATTATTAAGATATAATATAGTATATATTAGTTACCGTGGTTGTTGCACCATCATCTTTTTATCCACAGCCAGTATGTCTTCTTGGAGATGGTTCTCGGCCGGTGAGAGTCCATCTTGATCTGACTCCAAGCCTGGGAGACCGGCTACAACATATTTATATAATTACATCAGCTTTCACAATTACTGATTTAAATGAATCTAGCTAAATGATTTATGTTCACAAACTTTAATGATTCACAAATAACTTTGATTTGATTCACAAATACAAATGTTGAACCAAAAGGCAAAAAAACCTTACTATGAATATAAGAGTACAAGTTACTTATAAATATTAAGAAAAATAGATAAATAGTAATAGGGACATTTTTATAATTTATTATTAAAGGATATTTAGGAACACAAACAAGTGGCAGCTTCATTATTTCATACATGATGAAGACAATATCTTAAAAATTGTTCACACTTGGAAATAAAATTAAAAAAAAAAGTCATTTGTAAATGTTTTTTTCAATATTTCTGTAAACTGGATATTATTAATATTATGTCTAATTTGCATCGAAACACAATTTAATGAACATTTTAATGCCAATAAATGTTTATTCATGAATGCTATGTAAATTATTGAGACGATAAAACATTATCCTGCATAAAAAATAAAAAAAACTATTACAAATGCTTCACTTAATAATTTTATCAGAAAACCTGGAGAGATCGACACTAATGTAGCATAATTAAAGGTGTATGATACGTTTTAAATGGACATTTTTTTTATAAAACTTCATAAAAGCTTACGTAGTGCCAGAAAACAATAATAAAAGTCCCGTCCAAAATAACTACATGGAAGCCATGTGAAATGAGATAGTTCTCGTTGTTCAATGATGTTAAGACTTTGTCACAATATTAATTAATCATTGTGACAAAAGTATATATAGTTATTAACACATTTACTCACCATAACAAGCATTTAGAAGCAAAAATGTGAACAAATATCGCACTATGACAACGTCCGCCATTCTTCGTTCATCATAACAATACACGATCAGTCAAAGATATCTCTCTCGAGGATACATTTATTGTTTAGGTATCCATTAATATTACAATTTTATATTTCAGCATAATAAAATAGTTTTTAAATACTTAGTTAAATAAAAGATATAAAAAATTAAAATTAATGAAATAAATTTTTCGTTTTTAATTCTACCATAGAGTATAGGAGTATGAAATTTGAAATAAAATAATTATTTAATAATCTTATTAACGGACATTATTAAAAATACACTTAAAATAATTCAGTATTATTTAAAATAATTTTTAAAACATTATTTTGATTTATTTGAATTTCATTATCATAGAGCTCATAAGAATATAGAAGGTAGGTTTTTTTTGACAAATGCCATCAGTCTGCATTCAAAAATGTCGGTTATTTGTGTAGTTTAAATGGCGAAGTTTTATTAACACTTTAAAAAGGCTATTTTTCAAGTTTTAAACATTAATTCTATTAATCTGTGACAAATAATTATAATATAATGCCACGTACCAAGCGACCCACACGAAATGTTGAGAAAACGGCTGAAGATGACGATACTTTGAAAAAGTTAAACAAATTAGGTTCGGAAGTTTTAAATTTTTGTTACGAAATATAAATAAAAATTATTATATCTATAATAATTCATTTTTTAAATTACAGTAAGTGATTTCAAAAATAAAGTAGACTCCCGAGCAAACATGGAGCTTCGCAACGTTGAACTGGCTTTCAAAATATTATTAGGCTCTTTCAGCGCCAATTACTTACAGAAAACTGTGGGACAGTTGGTAAGTACAGTATTAATAGTTTATACGAGGAAGTTATTCCTGATTGAGGTATATTTAATCACTATAGAGTGTTTGATAATAAATGTTTTATTTACAGAAGACAGAATTGCATTTCAAAGATACAACTACGCTTTCGAGTAGATCAGAGTCTCATGATGATGGTGAGGGATATGTATTCATTTATATTTATTGAAAATCAATTGAAATGTCTATTATATGTATATCTAATACTTAAAATATGTAGAATAACTGATAGTATAGAAATGCTTGCTGAATGTAGTTACTATGAAAATATTAAAAAAAAAATGAAAATAAATGATTACAATGTTTTAATTCTTTATAATATTAACATTTAGATAATTCAAGTAGGATTATGAACTTTATTTTGTTTAAAAGTATTTTCAATTATTTAAAAGTAGTTTCATTTGAATCTTAACTTCAGGGATATCATTTGTTTTTGTTGATATGGGGATATTAAATAATAGATGGATAGATTTTGTTAACATTTTAATCACATCATCTAACAACATTTACCATATTTCCACTAACCGGGAGCTTTCTGGGATCAGGGTACCTCACGGAGAATTCATCTCAAGGTTCGGGCGAGCGACATGCTAAGAAAACATTCCTCGGTAAGTCTGCTTCCTTGTTCTTGTGCTGTTCTGTTCATCACGGTTCATCATTACAATATACTCCTGTCTACAAATAGCTACATGTCGCTGTAAAGTAAGACTTTATAATTATTCTAAGGAATATTCCTACAGCATCATCATCATTCCTTACTACGTTCTAATGTTTTGTGATTGTAACAACCAATATATATTACTATATGTCATGAATACAAGTGCAGTGTTTGTTTTCACTCCCCAGTTCCCCCGTCCTCAGTCCGTGCTCGTCGCTCGAGGTCAGCGGACGCGTCGTGTCGCTCCGTGCGCCCCCCGGCCACCTCCGGCCGCTCTACCAGCGCCGCCCGGCGTCGCTCGCGCTCCGTGTACCGCACGCCCGCATATAATAAGAACGCTGCTCTCAACTACCCTCCTATAACGCCAAAAGTATGTACTACAACTACTACCAATATTACCAGTATCTTAGTTTTTATTTAGACCACATCAATATTGACACCAGCATTCTATGCCAATTATTCAAGTTTATTAGGAGTCCTTAGCAACCACTAGGGCCCGGATTAATATGTAAATACATATTTTTAATTTACGTGATTTTCGGTCTAGAATGTGTTTTTTACATGGATTGTCATATTTAGACTGTGAAAAACCAACTTTTATTTTCCATATTTTACCATATTTCAAAGTTAAGTCCATATTTTACAAGAAAATATCACAATCATCCATATATTCACAAAAATATATAAAATTTACGTTTCCGCCACTAATGTTTTGTATAAAAATAAAGGATTTTATACACTAAAAAAAATTAACAAAATTCTGTGCGAAAGTTTCGTGGGCTGTAGACATGGCTTACAAAATTACTGAATTAAGCATGTTTAAGTATGCACCCATCACGTCATGTGACTTGAGATGAGACCAATTAGCAGATATAATGCTATATATCAACCAAATGGTCAGTTTTCCTTTTGATAATTTAAAGAAGCACGTCATTGTGTATTGCAACCAATTTGATAAGGCTAGTGTAATGTAAGTTGAATAAAACTGTTATTTTCTTTGAAATAAATATTTCGCTATTTTTTTCATCGTTTTTTAAATGTAACTTAACGATGTACGTCACGAGTTACCCTTTTGTTATAGTAAAACAATGTTTAATTATGAAAGTATTTTATTTTATACTCCATATTATTGAATTTTTTGTCCATATTTTACGTACATATTTTAGATTTTTTAATACATATTTATCCGGGCCTTAGAACCTAGCACCTAGCACCATTGCTGAGGCCCGAGTGCAGTACATTCAACACATATTTGTTCAATACTTTATATTTCTCAATCCCATTTGTATTCCTTCCTCCAGGTGGACCCTCAGACTCCGCTGACCGTCCTCCGCCAGCCTCGTCAGGGTGAGATGGTGGTGTCTATGTCCGGATCACCCGTCATGGTGCCCGCCTGCTACTCGTCAGTATATACATATCTATACTAATATTATAAAGCTGAAGAGTTTGTTTGTTTGTTTGTTTGAAAGCGCTAATCTCCGAAACTACTGTTCCGAATTGAATAATTCTTTTTGTGTTGGATATTCCTGTTATCGAGGAAGGCTTTAGGCTATGTAACATCACGCTACGACCAATAGGAGCAAAGATATAGTGGTAAATGTGTAAAAAACGGGAGAAATTATTTCATCTTTGAAGCCTTCCGCTGCGTGCGCCGTGAAAACGGTTCAAGATACACAAAAAATATGTATTAAAGAATAATAGCTCTTTTAATGATCTAAAAAACACTCCGCGACAGTATATGTCTATCTTTTAAGATTAACTCACAAAAACCGTTTTTATGGTACCTAATTTGGTCGAAATAATTTGAAGTTGTATCAACATAATAATATTAATCTTTATTCAAATAAATAAAAAAATATGTTGTTGGTTAAGAGTACTTCATTGTGAATTAAAAAAAAACATAGATTTTATCCTGAAAACTCTACAGGAACTCGACCATTCCGAAAACCCCACAAGAACGGGAACTATGTGGGAAGAACCAAAAATCTGCCGTAAGTCACTATTCCACGCGGACGGAGTCGCGGCAAAAGCAAAAGGAGAATTCAAAAAAAATATTTTCAGAACTGTGTCTTAACCGTAAGATGGTTAAAAATGAAAATTAAAAATATAAACTTGTTTTTTTAAGTTCTTGTGAGCCTTTATATCTCATATTTTTTCTTCGGATAACTACTATTGAGCCCCAAAATAATTTCTGGTATTTCGATCAATCGAATAATTACACTCTGAGAAAATTATTTTTTCCTAATTTTCAGTATTTTTTGATTTTCTCAGAAGCGGTTATAGATAAAGACTTGAAAATCGTAGCATCGAAGTATCTTATGAGTACAAACATTCCCTGAAATTTTGAGCCCGATCCATGTCTGGAGCCGATTCGGTATACTTATCGTCTCACGGCCTTTGCTTTAAATATTTGGTAATTGTCATTTGACGTAAGCCACTCTTAACAACACCACTCTCTTTCGATTTGACATTTTGTCTTGTCCGGACTTGTTCGTAGTTCGGATAATCGCGAATCCGTATAATGAGGGCCGGATAATCGAGTTTCTACTGTATCAATATATGTAGCATTGTATTTATCAAGTATATTACATTTTCAGTATGCAGCCATCTGAGAAGGCGACCTGCAACATTCTTCTTCGTGATGGCACCACACTGTCCCTGCAGCCCAAACAACTGAGGCAGTCGCAGGCCTACATACCCTTCACACTAATGGACTCCCGAGTACTGGACCAGCTGAGGACACTCAAAGATAACTTGGACAAGGTGGTGAAGCTCGGGGAGAAGGCTATAGTGCAGTAGACATGATAATGATCAAGTTACTGACTTACATAGTATTAGAGATATGATGGAAGGGCTCAAATAAGAAACTAGAAACTTGAATATTATATAACTTGTTTAAAAACAACAATTATGATGAATTTGACAGGAAATTTGATTCAAATGCTCTCTAGAATGTTTACATGTAGATGACTAGACCATTAATAGTATTAAACTGATATATTTTGTAACAATACATCATTACATCCATATATTTATGAAAAGCTCATGATCATGTGACCTGTTGTATATAAGTATGTTATTGTTGTATGTGTCCGGACCTCACACACCGCTGGATGTATGTCTCATTAATTATTGATGTTACGGCTGTTTTTTGTGGATTTTATTATGTGTGTATGAAGTGTGTGAATTAAACAATAAAACGAAACATTAGTCTAATGGTTTTATTAAAAATAATATCCATTGAGTACAATAAGACAATAAAATCAATGACAATATTTGTAAAAAATCTAAGCACAAGAAAAAGATATCGTGATATAAGAGAGTTGAATAATGATTACAGAGAAACACGGAAATATTGTTTAAAGTAAGAATTAATAGTGAAATATACTCATGACAGTTACTGTATACAGGGTGACTGGTGAATTACTATCGATATTTGAGGACGTGATATTTGACGATCATATATGACAAAATAAAAATTAATATAACATAAATATTAATAAACTTCTAAGTAAAGTTAACCAAAAGTTATGTAATTAATTACGCATCGTATGAACACCCTACAGATTAGGTATACACACACACTCACACATACGCGCGCGGCGGCGTGTTGTTGTATCAGCACGCCGCCGCACGCGTCCACACTTGGAACACTTGGAACGTGTACACACTTTATTTATTTATACGGAAATTTGGTCAAAAATTAAGTACCAATTTTTTTTACATAATTCGAATGAGAATCATGTACCGAGTATGCTCCTTAAATATTGATAGTAATTCACCAGTCACCCTGTATAGCAATAAAATTTTGTAAACGTTTAGATCTGATATTTGTCCTCAGTAGCCATGTTTCCCGAGTGTCTGTTCCACCTCCTTCACGTACTTTTCAGATACTTTCTGGGTCCTCATGTCTGCCACCTGCAAGACAATATATATGTCAACAAACAAAATTATTACCATGGGCAATCTTCAAACTGCAACTGTAAATATTTGGTTAGGTAGAGAGGAGCTTGGACGGTGGAGGTGAGCGTTTAACGCGCGTTAGATAGGGGTCCCTTAAACCTACACCCGGGTCGCAAGTCCCTGTCACTGTGGAAGCTCCTCTCACTACAACGATGGACCCGGTACCCGCACCGTGAATACATTGAATGATGAGAAGTTTATAGCTCTCATGAGTCATGACTATACTAGAGATAGGGAGAGTTGATATTCCATGTCAAGGTAAATTAAGAGAAGTAGTTCGTCATTAGTCCATCTCCATACAAATATCTGGTGACGTACCTTCTGCCGTATAACCCGTCTCTCGTACTGGTCCTGTCGGTCTTGCTCCATCCTCAGCGCCACACCCTCGTTGTGGAGCTTTTCACGGAGCTCAGCCCTGGGTAGTCGAACGAACATATACATAAGATGCGAACAATTAAATATGTATTAATATAGTCCAGTATCCATGGCTCCTTTTTGCACTTGATTACTAACAAGCTAATTTTCCGTCAGTAGCTTCGTTTCATTGAGACGCCCAACTTTTTCCTTTGCGATATTTCTTGATTGTGGTAGCTAACTTAGTCAGCAGAGACAAAATATGTATAACTGGATTTTTTTATGTTAAATCTGATGATTATTATCTAAATTATTCGAAAAAAAATTGTCCTGCAAAATATGTGGTTTGACCAAAGAGTCCCCCTCCTTTCAACATGTATTGATAACGAGGTCATCACGAGTGATTACTTACCAACTAAAGAAATTAATAAATTACCAAATTTTAAGTATTTAAAAGATGAAATCCAAATATCTTTATTAGTTGAAGCACGAGTAAAAAAATGTACTTTAAAACATCAACGAAATTTATGAGAAGCTTGGAGATCAATTATCTTGTTCATTCGCCATATTTTTACCAAGAATGATTATAATCCTGCATTCTTTCCTAAGGGCAAAAAGAGACCTTTTAGCATTCTAAAAAAAAAATATTAATTTTCAAGAGGCCTTTATTCAACTCTTACGAGTAGGAAAGCGGCACTAACAACATCGAATGTGGTAGTTTAAATCATTGAAGAGTATGTATGTAGAATGTAGTCTTTAAAAACAAAAAAAATGATATCAACAAAGGGCGGTATGAGTTATTTAAAAAGGGTTTAAATCAAAAAAAGAAAATGAAGAAATTTGAAAAACAAAACATCGTAGGATATAATCCTTCTAGTAGTTTGTCACTACCAAAACAAGAATTTTTGCAATAATTTAAAAGAACTGCAATATATTGTGTAAGGCACACATGCGGTGAACCACAGAAAAATTGCCAGAAAATTTTGGATTGATTGATGGCAATTATGAATGTTTGATGGTCCCCAAAGTCCATCTTTTGAAGAATTATCTTACCCTATTAATATTATTGTTAATTATTGATTACTTACGCACTTTTACATAATTTTCTAACTTTTGTCAAGTTATTACAGAGTCAGATATCACACATAAGGACAATGAAATAAATGAAGATAACAGCGATGTAAGCAGCGAAGATTCATCAGATGAATCTGATGAAGATTAATTTTTGTTTATGTAAATACACAAATTTTTGTTTATGTAAATACATCTCACTAAAAAATCAAGTTGTTTTTTAATAAAAAAGAATAATTTCATTGTATCTTATGCTACAGTTAGTAATGGGAAAAATGGTCTTGTGGCATCAACCACTTTTTAGCGTAGGATCGGGATAACGTACCAAGTAACTTTTAGGATATGTTACTGTTAAATTATATAAATATTAACTCAGTAAATAAAAAAAAATCAGCTAGGTAGTAATCACTTGCGATGACCTCGTTATCAATACATGTTGAAAGGAGGGGGATTCTTTGGTCAAACCATACATTTTGTAGGACAACATTTTATTCGAATAATTTAGATAATAATTATCATAAGATTTAACATAAAAAATCCAGTTAGTAATAAATTCAGGAAAAAAATCAAATCAACATATTTTGTCTCTGCTAAGTTAGCTACCACTATCAAGAAAAATCGCAAAGGAAAAAGTTGGGCGTCTCAATGAAACGAAGCTACTCACGGAAAACTAGCTTGTTAGTAATCAAGTGCTAAAAGGAGCCATGGATACTGGACTAACAGTAATAAAGTAATGTTACGATTATTAACTTGACCCCTCACCTCGCCCTTTCCTTGTCATTAATTTGTTTCATTATTTCCTGTCTGTGTTGTTCGACGCGAGCCTTCCTTTGGTCCTCCAACTGGAACGTTACATTTTACTTATAAAATTATACTCGCATATTGTTAAATCGCTCACGGTGTGACTACGGAACGTAGTTATCAGAAAAATAGTAACTAATCTTGGTGTTTAATTAAATTATTTGGTGTCACAAGTATGTATCATGTCTAATGTGCCGCTAGATGTCTCTGTGTAATCCATCATGACTCATGACCTGTCTCTCCTTCTGTATGAACTCCTCGTTCTGTCTCGCCGCGTTGTTGAAGCTCTGCTCGTCTTTGGCGATCTCTCTCGCTATCAGACGGTGGATGTCTGTTATCTGGAATTATAAACCATTTATTTGCTACACACATACATTACATACCTATATTATACAGAAGAAAAAAAATGTTAAAGAATACAGTGTAGCAGCAAGGGGGTTCATCTCAGTATAAGCTGTGCTAATGCACAGCACTGATTTTCAGATGGCCCCTGAATATTAGGTAAACAAACACAAATGCGTGCACACGAAAATTAATAAATGAAATTATAAGAACAAAAAACTAAAAAGCCCTTAGGTATCCTTGAGGAAAAAAAATATAGCACAAAAAGAAAAACATCACATGGAACTTAGACATAAGATAAGACTAATAACTTAGACATTATAAGCATAATACTTAGATGTGTCATATTTCCCATGTAATGTTGTGACATATAACTGTTTAAGACTTTTAAATGACATTAAAGACATTGCTCAAGTATTTTTGCTTTATATTTCGTATTTAGATTTCCGTCTTATATTTTTAAAGATTGTTTAAAAAGTGAATCGATTTTATGATACCTACTAAGGGATCATCGGCCATTCAAAATCAACTCATACATCATTATCTAATTCAACTACACGTATTGACCGCGTCAAATCCTGACCTGCGCCACCCTAGCTTCATGTAACCTCTTCATCTCTCTGTTTCTTTTGATGGCAGCCTCTCTCTCCTTCCTCCTGTACTCTCTCTCCACGTCCTCCTGAATCTTGAGGTTTCTGATTCTCTCCAGCTCTTCTTTCAGCTCTTGTTCCGCCTTCAAACAAAAATGATGATGTTAGCTTAGTATATGTATGTGGGTTTGTAATTAAAGTCGCCGTTTTTTTTTTGGAATAATTTAGATCATAAGATTTAACATAAATAAATCCAGTTAGTAATAAATTTTGGAAAATTATCAATTCAACATATTTTATATCTGCTAGCTAAGTTAGCTACCACAATCAAGAAATATCGCAAAGGAAAAAGTTGGGTGTCTCAATGAAACGAAGCTACTGACGGAAAATTAGCTTGTTAGTAATCAAGTGCAAAAAACAGCTATGTATCCTGGACTATAAGGATAACATTTAGAATATGGTCAAACATACTCAATTAGTTATCAGACCTTTTGTGCCTTAGCGATATGGTCTATTCCCTTCTGCTTGGCGGCCTTCACTGCCTCCGCCTCAGCTCTGTTCCTGGCTTCTCTCTCCTGCTTCAGTTTGAGGAAGTTAGCGATCCGAAGGTCCATGATGCGCTCCTCCTCGTTCTGGAGCTGCTTGTAGTACAGAAGTTCAGCATTGCCTTCAAATAGAGGGGGAGATTAAAAGCAAAGTTGCTTTATCAATATGAATAAATAACAATATAATATTTGGAATAGATGAAACAATCGTCATCAGCCTATCAGAGCCCACTGCTGAGCAAAGGTCTCTTTCTCACATGAAGAAGGTATGAGCATTAATCATCATGCTTGCTCAAGACGGGTTGGTGATTTCAAACTTATAATTATGAAACTATAAGTCCAGGTTTCCTCACAATGTTTTCCTTCACCGTATATCAGTGGTGTCTAAATACTCTCATAAAGTACATATGACTCCGAAAAATCACATTGGTACTTGCCAGGTTTGAACCCACACCCTCGCCAACGAGAGGCGGCCCTTTAACCACTAGGCCACCACTGACTAAATGAAACAATCATGGGGCAGTATTTAAAGTAAAAAGTAAGTGTGCTCTAATTAAATTAATTATTCTACCTTGATCCAATATCTCCTTGAGCTTGGCTTGTCTGCCATGTTTCTCTTTCAGTTTCCGCGCCTCATCTATCTGCATAGCGATGTTGGACTGGTTCACTCTTATGCTCTCCTCTTCAATTCTCTCAGCTTCCATTATCTAAAACATTTTTATGAAAATTAAAAAGTGAGAAAAGTGTACAAAAAGAGATTTAAGAATTTCGCTAGTATTCATTTAAACAAAACTATTTTTTTTTTCGAACAATACTTCATTTTACTCATATACTTCATATTTAACAACCGTGGCTAGATTTTAGAACCGTGACTCGTCTGCCCGTGATCTCGGTTGCTTGAAAGTAATCGAAACTTCGGGAGTATTTAGTTTTTAAAATAATAAAATATCGGGTGTCCCATCTAGCGTTTCGAATTTGAACTAACGATAATTTGACATTGGAGACGTCAACTGTCATCGGAGAAGTGTCACATATTTAGTAATAAGTCTGACATTTACGAAATGGGTCGCTATTCGCTTGAGGAAAGCTGGGAAATATTAAAAAATTATTTCCAAAGTGGTGAATCGCCAACGCAAACTGTGCGAAATTTGAAAAAAATATTTGCCAAAAAAGATTTGCCATCGGAGGCATATGTGCGGCAATTTGTGAATCGTGTGCGCGAAACTGGATCACTGTTGGATAAAACAACACGTAAACGTCCATTTCCAGCAAGGTCAACCGAAAACATCGCTGCGGTGGAACAAAGTGTTCGTGAACGGCCATCCACATCGATTCGTCATCGAGCGCAAGAGTTGCACCTTTCTCGGTCAACTACGCACCGAATTTTGCGCAAAGATCTTGCCCTGAAGCCATATAAAGTTCAGTTGGCCCAACAGCTGAAGCCAATTGATCATCCGAAACGTCTACGGTTCGCAAATTGGGCGGAAGATCGTTTGGCCGAAGATGGTGAGTTTTATCGAAAAATCATCTTTTCCGACGAGGCTCATTTTCACCTCGGCGGTTATGTAAATAAACAAAACTGCCGTATATGGGGCACAGAAAACCCGCACGTCGTTGAGGAGAAACCGATACATCCACAACGAGTGACTGTTTGGTGCGGATTTTGGTCCGGCGGCATCATCGGCCCATTTTTTTTTGAAAATGATGAAGGAGCCGCCGTAACCGTCAACGGCGAGCGCTACCGCGCTATGTTAACTGATTGGTTTTTCGGTCAAATGGAAGAGTATGATTTGGACGATATTTGGTTTCAACAGGACGGGGCTACGTGCCATACAGCCCATGCTACGGTCGATGTTTTGCGCCCAATCTTCGAAAATCGCATAATCAGCAAAAATGGTGATGTGAATTGGCCTCCAAGAAGCTGCGATTTAACACCATTGGATTATTACCTTTGGGGAGCGGTCAAAGACGTTTGTTACGCCAACAAGCCAAGCACGATTGATGACTTGAAACATGAAATTGAAGTTGCCATTGCTGCCATAAGGCCGGAAACAATTGAAAATGTACTGAAAAATTGGACTGATCGAATAGGGTACTGCCAAGTAAGCTGTGGTGGACATTTGACCGAGATAATTTTTCACAAATAATGTCATGAATTATGCTTTCAAATAAATGTTTGATCATTGAAATCTATCGAGTCGTTCTTTTTTTATAGCCTTTTTAAATTCGAAATTTTCCGTGAGACACCCTATACGTGCAGCATAGTCCTTAAAAGTTTCTTTTACTTACTATTTACTGAAAGTGATTTGTGTATACTAAAAGAGAAAACAAGTATGGACGATTTTTGCCTATTCTATGACATGGGTTTAATATTTGTTTGAGTACCTTGGCGGTGTCGTGAGCTTGTATCTGTTCCTTGAGAGCGGCGAGGTTCTGTAGCCGCAGCTCGTGTCGACGAGCCTCCGCAGCCTCAGCTCGAGCCACCGCGGACAAACGGTTGGACTCCATTATATCATCGAGTCTAGTTGAGGACATAATGTCATTGTATTAAAAAATTGAATAGACCAAACAACTGTTTTAATAAATTGTGTTACAAATAGAAAAGAAAGGAAGGCATACTCTAAACCAAAAAACAATAAACGATACTAACATAAAACATCTCATTTTAAGACTACAGATAAGGAGTCGAAGATTTCATGGTTGTACAAAAGATGCTAACCAACTATTAATGTTGTTGATTATATATTTTTATTTCTTAAAATGTTATGTTATTGAATCTTTACAAATTCCCAAATATTATTTCGGTGGTGTTCAACGCTTTCGCCTGACCAATTGTCAAAATTCGTATTCAAAATTCTACTGTATAAATCTGTTACGAGTCGACCTGACCTCCTCTCCTCTTCGTCGAGTTCCTTCTTGATGAGTTCCTTCTCAGCTATCTGCGCGTCACGGATCGCGTGACACTTGGACGCCAGGATGATCCTGTTACACAGTCTCGGGCCTTGCATGTTGTTAGCTTTCAACACTGGAAATATCAAATAATAAAACTGAAATTATAATACTATATGGACATCCTCTACTGTTCAGCAGAAACCAAGTCTTTAGCCTGTGTAGGTGTGTTTATAGTGTTTGATATGCAAGTACGGTGCTTGCAAAAAGAAGATAGCTGATTAAAAAACAATTGCAGGATAGTTATCAGTACAATAATACTTACTTTCCGATCTAGACAGAGTATGCGCCGCTTGATCCGGTCCCTCCAGCTCAGGGTCCGCGGTCCCAGTGGCTGCCTCGGCCCCTGGTTGTGGTTTGAGCTGTTCCTTGAGTAATCTCTTTCTTTCCTCAGACTCCCTCGCAGCCTTCTGGACGGCTGCCTCTTGAGCGTGCATAGCTTGGATCTGTTCTTCCGTAGTTACAATCTGTAAATAAACAAACCCCAATTATTACTTGTCGTTTTTGTGACAAAGATTATGGGAATATTTGAAACATAGATAGGTTTGCTAAGGACTTATGGTAGCACTGTTCACTCTTCTAAAAAATAATTATTTAATATGGTCTTAGAAAAATATGCAACATGAAGATCAAACTCATCATTTATTCTAATATTAAGCAGACCTTAGCCTGTTTCTTGAGTCTCTCATAGTCATCCTTGTTGATGACGGCGGGGTAGTAGTTCGGCTTGGTCTTGGGCACCAGCAGGGTCCTCCAACCTCCCAACTGAGGGACCAGCGTGTACTCGTGTTTTGGAACTTCGCACTTGTGGATGGGACGTTCCGTCGGTGGAAACTTCAGACGACATTCCGATGGCCTGAAACAAACATTCATTTGAAATATTATATTGTCCGAATTACCCACATTACTATTTCTTTAAAATGTAATCAGCAGTCAAAGATAAGAGTGATTTGTAAGTCAATGTGGCTGTACATGATTAAGACGCATAATTTTTTTAAATATTTAAATTAACTAATATACAACCAGTCACCATTAAATTTAATGACAAAGACTATTTTCTTCGTGAGAACAATTATTGAAGTGCGCTTGGAGCTGAGTAGTTGAGTAGTTGTGCGAATAGGGATCCAAAAGTAATGATAATAAAAAGTAAGGGTACTTTCGTAAAAAAAATGTGGTTTATTTATCTGATTTATGTATTTATTCTGATCTAGTTTAAATATGAAAAAGAAAATCTTTTAAAAGTGCCCTACAAACATTTGATAATCATCACTGTTGGGTCAATCCTAGGAGAGTAATAGTAGGTTTGCAACCCTCGATTATTTTCCCTTGTCGCATGGTTTTTGTACGGCGTTAAGGAATAACGGATTAGAAGCTGTATTGAAACAGAATGAAACTGATGCCGTACAGAATAAAATGACCAAATTTACCCTAGAAATTGTCAGAAAATCAAAAAAAATACCGATTTATCGATGGTAAAAATGAAGTACAAAAATATATGATCAAAAGGTACTCACTCTACCTGCGCTTTTGAATTCTCACCAGCACTCAGTTGGACAACTTACAAGTTACAAGTGACGGCACAGAGCTGACTCTTATTATTTTATGCTCTTATATCGTCCTATGTACATACGTCACCTGGTGGTTCATTTGACCCATCCATTTTTTGGACATGGGCCTGTAGTCTATATGCATAATATTAAGTCTCATGTCTATTAATGCTTATTTTGTAAAGTACCTACATTTTATTTGTTGTCTTATACACACAAACCTGTTTAGTTGTATTGAAAGTGATAACTGAACATTGACTTTTACTTATATACATATGTAAATATATTTGAATGACTATTATGTTAAGTAAGTATATACCTATTGAAATATTTATCGAGCAGTTTTATTACTTTTTGATTTTATAATAAATAAGAAGGTAATTTGAAGTCAATGGTACTAAATATATTTTTATTACCTGTGTAATTGATAGCAGCCTGGCTCGCCTCCTTTATGTATTTTATGGTATTTGATGCCTTCGTGATAATTCTTAAGTGCTTTAGGCATTTTGCACAATATTAAATATTATAAATAAAAACAACTCCACGTTTTTCTTCTTCTATAAATAACCGTTGCTAGGAAACTAAAAATCTATATTAATTTAGTTTATGAGCACCAAATATTAATTATTATTTAACTTTGTTCACATATCCTAACTCTCAATTAATTTTTGATTATACAAGGATATAACACAATATTTAAACATTAGAATATTGCTTCAAACTCTTAAATGGAGAATTTCCATACTGTTTTGAATTAATAATGACATTATTTAAAATTAATGTATTTTTTAAGTACAATACTTAAAGGTACCTAATAAGAAACATGAATATGTTTTAGTTAATTAATTATTAAATACAGAATTGCTTTCAGGTCTCGCCAATCAATTCAGTTTTACAAAAGTCCCGGACGTTAATCATCAACTAGCTGTCAAGTATTTGACAATTGACAATCTGTTGAGCCGTCAAGATACGGCGGTCGTGTTTGAAAAGTGTAGAATATTTATTTTAAATTATTTATAGTTTAATTATGAGAAACATTTCAATAATATTTAAGGGATATTTTAAGCACCTCATAATGTGTTAGGAGTTAAATATAGAAGAGTTATTTATTTATTGCATAATATATGAATAGGTTATATTATTTACAAAAATATTGTTCATAATATTTTAAATATTATTTAATGTAATTTATTTAAATACAATGGAGGGTTCAGAGAATCAAAGATCCACCAGATCCTACTTGTCACCGTTGTTGGTAAGTGTTATATATGGTGTTAAATAAAGTTTTGTCAGTGGCACATTCATTAGAAAATGTTCAAAAAATATAAACAAAATGTTTAAAATAAATGAAACATATTTTTTTTATGTAAAGTAAAATATTAGTATTTGTTGTCAATGTAGGCGGGAGCTCTGGCCGGTGTGTCTGTGGATGTAACTCTGTATCCTTTAGACACTATTAAAACTCGTCTTCAAAGCCAACAGGGCTTCTACAAGGCCGGTGGCTTCAGAGGAGTGTACCAAGGTGATGGAATGTTTTAGATATACTAATAGTGTTTCATCTAATTTAATTGGAAGCTATGATATTAAAACATATGTTTCAGGTCTATTAACAGTAGCCACAGCGTCTATGCCAACTACAGCCCTGTTCTTTGCTTGTTACGAGGCCACTAAGAATATCTGCACACCAATGGTGTCACCACAATATGCTCCTTTAGTGTACATGCTATCAGCGAGTGTCGGAGAAGTTGTGAGTGTACATTGAAATGTTTAATTGTATGTAAATTTAATAATTATTTAATATTAATATGTAATAAGTTGTAATGTCTGTCAGTGTGCATGTGTAGTGCGTGTGCCGGCAGAAGTAGCCAAGCAGAGGAAACAGACATACGTGGGGACAGAGAAGTGTAGCAGTATAGGGATACTTATGAAGGTAAGATACTGGCTCTTGATGCGTGATTTACATTCTCGGTACATTAAAATCCTCTATATAATGTAAGTTTTAGTATTTCTTTCTTCATAGTAATTAACATAAGCCAATTTAATCTCTAAACACACATTCATGTTTACACATTCACACATATTTGAGAACAGAACATGTACTCGTGTAATATAAGTATTAAGATAATGAATATAGATACATTTTGAGGTGTTTTTTCGTTGTGATAAAATTTGCTTGTATTAATTTAAATTGTCTATACTCTATCATACTGGTTCAAGGTCCTCAACATTTTAATGAATCATAATAAAGACTTTACAACTAGTGCCTTCATTTTATTGCTTTTTTCTAGAATGTTTAATTATTTCAATTTATATGATTCTAATGTGGTTAATTACTGTGTTTGAAAAGAAACGTCTTTGTAGTTTTAAGTCGTATTTAATAATATTAGAAGATTTTAACATAACATAAAGAAAGCTAGGGCCAATGGGTGGTCCACCATATTTGGATGTACACATGAGATGTTTTATAGGAGACTTTACACTAGACTTAATTCTATAATATAACATACACACTATATTTATAACACTTCATGATAAATAAATAATATATTTGTCTGTAGATATTTTTTATAATATGTCAGTATAGTCAATGTTACATATTCATGTGTATGTTGTGTCAGGCGTTCAGGTTGCAAGGTGTGAGCGGCGTGTACCGCGGCTTCCTGTCCACGGTGCTCCGCGACCTGCCCTTCAGTTTCCTGGAGCTGCCTCTGTGGGAGCTCCTCAAGCAGCAGGTCCGGGACAGGAACGACGGACACATCACCAGCCTGCAGGTGAGTACTGAGTGTTGACTTATGATTGTTGTTACTTGTGGGACATTGATTCTTATTTCATCTCATATTAAATTGTTTATATAATATATAAGACAAATTAAAAAAAAACCCGCTGAGTTTTGTTCGCCGGTTCTTCTCAGGTCAGGGTATTTTCTTTTCCGAACCGGTGGTAGTGTCTCAAGTGACCATCTATAAGGAAGTGTAATGCTTCTATATTGAATAAAGTTATTTGAGTTTGAGTTCTTATACTAGAGTTCTGTGTGTATTAGAGTGCAGCGTGCGGGTCGCTGGCGGGCGGCGCGGCGGCGGCTGCGACTACGCCCCTGGACCTTGCCAAGACCCGCATCATGTTAGCTGAGTGTGCCCGCCGCCCGTCCATCGGGCCCGTGCTGCACGACATCTACCTGCAGGGCGGCCTGCGCGGTCTGTTCGCGGGCTTGCTGCCGAGGGTCACCGCCTTCATGCTGGGCGGGTTCGTGTTCTTCGGGGTCTACGATGATACTAAGAGGCTGTTCGACGACTACTTCCACAGATAACATCGTGACGTCACCACCCCCTCACACCAACACACCTAGTCGGTGTCCATGTTACCGTAATATATATTGTTTATTAAAGTGTTTGTTGACATGTGTTGTTTCATTTGTCCCGGTCTCAGCGTCATAGGCCAGTGCAGAAGCCTTTAAAGTTAATGAAAGGTGACAATAAATTATAGTAGAATGAAACTCATTAGAGAAGGAGGATAATATTATAAAAATTTAAGAAGAAATAATTTACAAAACAATCTTAGGGGCAAAATCTTGTGGGTAAACAGTCTTAGGCTAAATAATAATAAAACAAAAATGGTGAAATTTAGTACACCTAATGTACATAATGTAAAAGCCGATGTACTCATTAACGGGGAATCGATGGATCAAATTGATTCTGCTGAGTTTCTTGGCCTTACTGTAGATGCTAAGTTGCAATGGGGCCCCCATATTAGCGGATTGGTGAGTAGACTGAGTTCTGGGGCCTTCGCCGTTAAAAAAATTAGATTATGTACCGATGTTGATACGGCTCGCTTAGTATATTTCAGTTACTTTCACAGTATAATGTCATTCGGTATTATGCTGTGGGGCAACGCAGCCGCTATCCATACTATATTTGTGCCTCAGAAGAGGGCTATTCGCGCAATCTATAACCTAGGAGCTAAAGAATCGTTAAGGAATTAATTTAAAGAAATCAAGATATTGACTGTTGCTTCTCAATATATATTCTGCAATAAAAATAAATAAATAAAAAATTGTTTATTACTGTAACTTAAACCTAGAAACAAACAGATACAGCTAGGGAGCTCCTTTTAAGAAATGGAATTATCTTGTGTTAGGAGTCCCCGCTCTTTCACAAACGGAATCAAGTACATAAAGGTAAAAGGTAACATTATTTTACAAATTAAGAATCGTTTAAATAGGTAACATATAACTTCAATGTAGTTTTATTCATATAACGCGCATGTATGTGTGTGTGTGTGTGTGTGTGTGCGTGTGTGGGTGAGTGAGTGTGTGTGATAGTCAGTTGTAGTGTTTAAATAATTAGATATAAGTCTTCAAATATTTATGCAATTATTTCCAATAATTTTTCAGTCTCACTGTAATCCAATTCCTTTAAGTAGTCTTTTAACGTTTTTTTACAATTATACGTGTTCATACCAAAGATGTTAACTTTACGGTTCATTTAAGCATACAAATAAGTAGCTTGTCTCTTAGATTGATTTCTTGTAAAAATAGTTTTTGCCGGTGGAAATGTGCATGTTAATTTAACATTATTACGTCTCTTAGTTGACACTTCAGGGTCAAATTTAATGAACCTGTGCACTTTTACGATGGAGAGCAGGACATACAGTTTTCTAACTGATAGGAGGTTTCCATATTTGTAGAGTTCGATAGTTGGAAATCTGTATTACTTAAAGTACATCACCTTTAAAAGAGATCTTTGCACTCTTTCCAGTTCTAAGAATTCCTAAGAATTTTGTGTCGAATGCTTCTTAAAATCAATAAATACTGTTAAGCACTTTTTACCTTGGTCAAGTTTATTAACAATTAGATCAGTAATATCTGTAATTGCGTCTTCTGTAGATAAATGTTTTCGGAATCCGAATTGTGTCTTAGCCAATATGTTAAACTTGTTAAGGTAATTTACAAGACGTTTGTTTATAAGTTTTTCAAGGATCTTAGCAATAGATGGTAGGACAGAAATTGGTCTATAGTTACTAATTTCATCTCTATTTCCACTCTTGTACACAGGTGTAATAATTGATTTCTTCATAGCTATTGGGAAAACTCCAGTCTTAAAACACAGATTTGCTAAATGAGTGAGAAAGGGTAGCAGAAAACTCCTGCATAATTTTATAAAGCTTATAGGGATCCCATCCCAGCCATTTTCACTCGTAGAATTTGATTGCATCAGAATGTTCTCTACTTCAAAAAGATCTGCATCAAGTAAGACAAAAGAAGACACATTAGTTGTAACGGGTGAAAATTTGTACCGTGAAACTTTATCGGTCGATATGATTTTTTCTGCCAAATCTTTACCAATATTAGCAAAAAAATTATTTACAAATTTTACAGAATGTGTTGACGATGGTAGAATATCAAGTAAATTAGTATTAGAAGTTTTACATTCTTTGAATTGTGTTAGTTCATTAATTATAGGCCATAAAATTTTATTGTGTTTACAAGATTTAGCTAATTTTTCTTTGTTATATTTACGTTTAACTTTTTTAATAAGAGAATTACAGAAATTTCTATATCTTCGATAAGTAATTTTTAATATTTCATTATTGGGATCTAATTTAAGTTTTCTTTGCATGTCGTTTCTATTTTTAATACATCGTAGTATGCCCTGTGTTATATAAGGTTTAATAGTTTGTTTACTTCTAGAAACAGTTTAGTTTTAGTGTGCTCTATAAGGGAGAAATATTTTTTTTTAATCAAGAGATCCGTATATACATTAGAGAAAAAGTTCTGTCAGATTCTGTTCTTGTAGTAATTTAAGAGCGTTTTCGTAATCGACCATTTTTTTAGTTGTTTGATTTTTGTTTGATTGGGTTACACTATCAGATAAATTAAGTTAAATCATAAGATGATCCGTTATAAATGTGTTTAGAACAGCAACTGTTGCTAAGGTTGAGTTTTTGTTTATTTTTAACATAAAATGATCTAGACATGATTGATCCCTTGTAGGAAACATGTGACCGCACAGGATACCATGCATTATTTATGATGTAAGATATTTTTGTCGATTATTTCGTTCATAGGTTTGTGCAGTTTCTTTAGCGATTATGTTTATATTAATGTCGCCCGTGATTATAATATTATATCGTGATTTGATCGAATTCAAATGTGCTAGTAGCGACTTAATGCAGTCTTCTGCGTTTGTATTACAGGGTGATCTATAGATGGCCAAGATTATGCTATTATGCATCATTATTTCCAAACCTGATGCATGTACTAAGTTCATTTCCTTTACTTTCACTTTATGTTCATTTTTAATGTAAACTACGACACCATCATTTTGATTAACTAATTTTATAGTGAAATAGACAGTGTAATTAGATAATAATGGAATATTTTTATTTGAATTTTAACGACATTCTGTGAATATGATAACGTCAATATTAATTTTAAATTGTGAAAAAGTTATTTCAAAATCACTAAAATTGTTATAATATATGCTTCTTATATTCTGGCGAATTATATTTAAACTCGATTTCTTAAAAATATTATTATGTAAGCCTTCAATGGAACAGTCAATGAACTTAGCTATTTCTGTATTATCTATGTCTTGTATAATTTGCAGAGACTTATCCATAATCATAGGTTAACTCAATATTACGATTTAAATATATAAGGGATGCGTATTTACATTGGTACAGCATTGTTTTATGAATTATTAAGTAATAAAGAAATAAAGGAACGCGAGTGTGTGACATTGTGTGTGTGCGTGTGAAGTGATTTGTATGCGAGTTTTGTATGAACGTTATATGATACAAGAAAATATTTTAAACTAAAATCTAATTTTACATGTAAAAATAACAAAAGAGACTTAATGTAAAGAGTAAAAACAATAATTAGCAAAACTTGAAATTAGAAAATATAGTCATGTTTTTTGCATCAACTGATTGATCTGCGATTCATTATTAATACGAATAACAGGTGATGTCTCGTCCTTTCGCACATAAATTTTACCGAACGAAGTCCAACAGAACGTGTAGGTACTGTTTGGACGAGGAGAGTTAATTGTTCCGAAACGTAAATCGGGGTATTTTCTTCTGTCTTAAAGCCAAGATCTTTGGCCCGCAGTTTTTCTTTATTTTTAATATTAAAGTTTTTAGAAGCTTTTATTATATCCGTTTTAACAATTGTTGAGCTTGTTTCAATAATTATTGGTGTATTTTTATTTCATCCTTTTTTCCTAGAACCCGATAAATGTCTTTTTTAATATCAGACTTTTCGATTTTGCATTTGATGTTTCCTGTTAGGTTAGTTACCATATCCATTAAGTCCTTCCTAGTCTCATTATTAATTTTCGGAACATTTTTTATTTCGAGGCAAGTTTTCCTATTGTTTCGCTGCATATCCTCAATCTTGTCCTCTAGTAAGGTAATACATTCCCGGTCCTTTTTTGATTGTATCTCCGACAGATTTATTTTGTTCTGTAGTTCCTCATTTTTTTGGGTTAAGAATTCCATAGTTTTTTCAATGTTGATATTTGTCTGTTTTATGTCTTTTAGAGTAGATTTTATAGCTTGCAGTTCAGTATTTTGTGCTAATAAAAGAGACGACAATTCTTTTATGTCATTTTTAAGTGAATCAAATACAATCATCCTCTCCACGCCGCTTAACTCTCTGGCTTACGAAAGTAAGGGGTGTTTTATAATTTTGATTCAGATGATTTATCCATTGCGATTACAAGTACTAGGAGACTATACGATATGAAGAGAATCTCCTTTAAAATGTCATAAGCACGATATTCTACGTGTACGTGTAATACTAATAGCATTGGTACAAGGAACAAACATAAACTTGTTACTCCTGTTACTCGACTACATAGAGTCAGTAACTCCTTTGTGGGGCAATGTATACGGTTTTACAACAGGATCCCAGAAAGGGTTCAAAATGCCTCTGTTGGTAAATTTAAATAAATTATTAAGGAACGCTTGTGTGTCTATACAATTAATGAGTTTATGATCGATAGGTTTTAGCAGCTTAATGTCAATTTTCTGTAAATTACCTAAAAGAGGGACTATCTGGAGAACTTCAATAGTACACAACTATTAAAAACAAATTAGAAAGAGCATTTAAAAAACGATGACGAGTGTCATTTCATTAAAAGGGACATGATTATTTTATCCAAAAATGGTACTGCAAGTAAGAAACTTTTATTTTTTTCTTCACCATCGGAAAATAGAGATTTCAACAAACTGAAAACATATAAATTTTTAAAAATACCTGATATTTTGACGGGTGATTTTTCGATTGAAAATGAAGCTGATTTTTCGGTATTTATTCAAAATAAGCTGAAAAAATAAATATTCTAATAAACTAAATTACAGTGCATTTGTAACATTAAAAGGAAAGTTTTCACCAAATGTGGTGACAAAATATTGTTTTTTGTATGAGATAAAAATATAAAACCAAAAACTTGGTATTTCGAATTTATCACATAAATTTTCAGGTTATGTGAAAAAAATGTTAGTACAAAAGTTTTAGATCTTTTTATTACCTACAACTTTGCCATATAACATTTTTCCGTAGGACCTTTACTTATGCCGGAAATCGAGAAAACCCATTTTTTTCCCTTAAATACCCACCCCCATACCCTTCCCGACCTCAGATCACCCGTAAATTATTTTTCCTTTAATTTTTATAATATTATGCTCTTTTTCTAATGAGTTTCATTCTACTATAATTTACTTATGTTTTAAAAGCTATCGGCACCGGTCTATCAGGCTGGGTTCACAGTTCCATACAAACACTATTTCAGTTTCTCATAACGTATATTTCATGACTTATTATATTCTTTATATTATATTACTCTATATTTATACACTCATATACAATTCTTTAACAAGTAACTTTAATTTCTGGGTGCGATCAATGTCGGTAAAGCCAAACTTTTAAATCGATCACAACCAAAACAATTCCTCTTAAACACGATGTTATTTAACAAATTTTACATCAAATGATCCTTTGATAAGACATGAATCGTTTCTCGCGAGCTGTACGCGTCTTCATCGAAATAAAGAAGCGACAGTCTACTGATATACATATAAATAATGACTTAAGAGATACAGACCTTTATATATTAAAAGAGATAAAGTAACGTTACTAGGTAAAGCGTTAGTAAACTTTGGAATGTCATAGCCATAACTTAGACTAATTATATATTTAACATTTAAATATATAACAGATAAAAACAGACGAGATGCATCACTACGAACACTAACAACGACTCAACGAATACTCGAAGATAACAACCACTATACAATAATAATAAGAATGATATACATCATTCACGTTTGGCGGACATTTCTTCGACTAATTTTGGCGCCAATTTATACAGCTGTCTTTATAGTCGATACAACGTTCGAAAGCAACCACGGCACACGTCACTCGGCCGCCGTGTTCGATCATCGGTACACGAGGTTGGCGTGTCTGTGTTGGCTGGTGTCCCTGGCGCCGGTCTTCTTGAAGGGGTTCCAGGAGGGAGCCCGGCGGGGGCGCGCGGCCGCCGTGGAGCCCGAGGACGTGGAGGCAGCCGACACGGAGCCCTGGGTGGAGCGGGAGCGGCCGGCCGGGGACGACTGTGGACATATGGGCGGACTGAGAGGAGGTGAACGACGGTTAGTGATACAGGGTGAGTGTCGTGACGAGCGGCCGCACGCACCTGGCCGGGCCGGTCCATGGGCGAGGCGAGCCGCAGCGTGAGGCGCTCCCCGGCCGCGCGCGTGAGGCGCACCACCTCCTCGTGCGAGCTCCACTTCACGTCCCTGTCTCCTACACTCATTATGAAGTCTCCCGGCCGCATGCCCGCCATCTGGAGATGAATTTTATTCGGTGTTAATGTCTGTCCGGAGTGTTCTAGTAACAATAACTCACCAATTTCCAGGATGTCTCAAATTCTAAATGATAGTTGTAAACATTTGGACGCTTTAAGGGACTCACTCACAACATTTCGTTATAAGTTTTTGTTCAGCTATAAATTAAATAAATAATTTTTACATAAACATAATATAGATAATGATCTAATTTTTAATGTAATGAACCACCCCTAACCTAATTTTTATATGTATATAGAGATTGTAATACGTTTTTAATATAATGTAATAAATGATTTATAAACTTCCTAATATTTGCATGCTGTGTTTGCCTTAAAAGATAATGCATTTAGAATTAAGCTACACTGTATTTCTTTTTAATATTATATTAATGTAATTATCACTGGTGGATCTTAAATAAATAAATAAATAAAAGTATAATGTCCTGTCCCTCACATCAGCCAGTGAGTCCTGCTCCACGGCGGCCACCATGACAGGCGCGTCTCCCCGCACGGTGAACCCGAACCCCTCCCCCTCCCTGCCGCTCGCCCGCGGGTAGTCTCCGTCGTAGCTGTTGATGTAGACCCCGTTGGTCCTGGTCACGTAGTCGTCGCCGGCCGCGTGTCGGTGGAGCGTCACCAGGCGCGGGGCGCTCCAGTGTCGCTTGGCGGAGAACACCGCGATGGGTCCCAGCGAGCGGAACAGGTCCTCCACGCGGTGCTGGGAGAAGTCGGGCGGGGTCAGGGCCAGCTGGAACTTGGACGACGCTGGGGAGGAGACAGACGGTCACACACACACATACATAGAGAAGTACAGGGGATGTGTGTCGTAAAAAAAGCTTTCAATACAGTCTCTATCCCTGTCCATTTACATAATTAGAAAAAACAGGAATAAGGGGACCACCGCACGCAATATTTAAAGACTACCTATCTAATAGAATTCAAAAGACTAAACTAGATCAACTTAATTGTAGTGGCGAGGCTCATGTATCTTACGGCGTTCCGCAAGGAAGTGTTTTGGGCCCCACTCTCTGTTTAATATACATATCTAAACGATCTATGTACTATGACTATTAAAAATGCAAAAATTATTTCTTATGCAGATGACACAGCTATTGTTATATCTGGTCATTCGTTGGACGCCGTTAGAAAGAACACTGAAGAAGGTATGGCTCAAGTTGCAATTTGGCTAAAACTCAATTTTCTAACATTAAATACTCATAAAACTAACTTTATCACTTTCAGTATAAAAAAATAGTTCACAACCCGAAACAAATTTTCGTGCAAAAATTCATAATTGTAATGAAGTAAGAGGTAATAAGTAACTGCAATTATCCATTAATAAATAAAGTGAGTCAAATAAAATACTTGGGAATAATGGTCGACCAGAACTTGTCATAGTGCCCGCAAATTGAACATGTTGCGGCACGCATTAGGAAGTTCACGTGGATGTTCAAATCTCTCAGAGATATTGTAACTAATAATACTGTAAATGACTCCTTAAACAATCTTTGAAATGAAATTTATATAGCTTTGGTGTAATCCATAATAACATACTGCTTACCTATTTGGGGAGGTGCACGTAAAACACGTTTCATGGAAATTGAACGAGCTCAAAGAACATTGATTAAATTAATGTTCTTTAAAAAACAACGGTTTAGTACTGAAAGACTCTATGAAGAAAGTGGTTTGTTAACTGTACGGAAATTGTATATTGTGCATAAACAGAACAGTAGTTCTAAAAAAAAACACAAGTCTTTAACCTACGATATATCGTTACTCAATAAACGTATAGCATATAATGTTATATCTATCCCTGCTACTAAAACAGACTTCGCTAGGATACAGTATGATAATATCTGCTTATTTATATAATAAAATCGATAAAATCTTTAAGTTTTCGAGAAACTGAATTTTTTTGAGAACTAGCATTCATATCCTACACACACCAACATACACATACACACACACACACACACGCTCACACACACATACCCAAATGTGCACGCGCACACATGCATACACATACATTTTAATCCCACATTTGCTTCCTTTTTGGTAATTACTTATCCTATTATTACTTTTTATATTGTTTCTTTATTATTGTTGTACCTTAAATATCTCGTATACTTGTACCTAATTCGTGATATGGAAGAGCGGAGTTTCCTGGCACAGGCTAAAGGAGACTCCAATAACTTTATATTTAAGTACAAATTTGTTAAATAAAATAAATAATGTTTATTTATTTACGTGCTATAGGCGGGAGGTCGATGAGGTCGTCGAAGTCGTCCGCGGGCGGCGCTACCAGCCCCGCGGCTCGATCACGACTCACGCTCACCAGCCGGGACAGGGACTGCTTGTTGCGGAGCTCTCTGGAAACAGACACACACATACACATTATATATATATACATACATATCTATACTAATATTATAAAGCTGAAGAGTTTGTTTGAAAGCGCTTATCTCCGAAACTACTGGTTCGAATTGAATAATTCTTTTTGTGTTGGATAGTCCAGTTATCGAGGAAGGCTGTGGGCTATATAACATCACGCTACGACTAGTAGGAGCAAAGATATAGTGGTAAATGTGTAAAAAACGGGGGAAATTATTTCATCTTTGAAGCCTTCCGTCTATATATGTCTATCTTTTAAGATTAACTCACAAAAACCGTTTTTATGGTACCTAATTTGGTCGAAATAATTTGTTGAAGTTGTATCAACATAATAATATTAATCTTTATTCAAATAAACAAATAAATATGTTGTTGGTTAAGAGTACTTCATTGTGAATAAAAAAAACATAGGTTTTATCCTGAAAATTCTACGGGAACTCGACCATTCCGAAAACCTCGCAAGAACGGGAACTATGTGGGAAGAACCAAAAATCTGCCGGAAGACACTATTTCACATAAACCATTTTAGATTGCAAACACTAGAAATACGTCGCAACTGCAATAGCTATGTTTATATTTGCACAAAATTATTCACGGTGTTGTGCTTCACCAACGCTTTTAAGTTCCATCAATATAAACATCAACTTTAAATTCCGACACCCTAGAATATTTACACTGGATGTTTACAATAACAACATATCATATCATAATTTTATCGGACGTATGTGTCGCGCATATAGTAAGGTTTTTCTTAAAAACGACGCGTTGAACAGTATTGACATTTTCAACAATAACCTAAATTTGTTTAAGAACCAATTGGTTTCAGTTAACAGCCAATAATAGTGATTGAATCTATTTTTTCTTATCCATTATTTTGTTCCTCACCTCACCAGTTCACCAGTTTATAATTTCATTTTATTTTTCATTATATTTTGATTGCTGTAACCAGTTCATATTTTTCTGTGTAAAACTTTTTCTATTAAGTGTAAGTGTGTTTTCTTATGTATTTTTAAGTGCTGATGTATTTTTTTTAGTGAAATATTTAGTATATGTATAATAATCTGTGTTCTCATAGTTGTTGGGCTATAATGTTTACTCATCAATTATTTGCATATTTAGTTATAATCTGTTGTGTGAACCCTTAATAAAATAAAATAAAGCGAGACTCGTGTAGTAGTATCCGAAGCCTCACCGACACATCCTCTGAAGCCGGAGCGCCTCCTCGTAGGCCGCGAGCGCCTCCGCCAGGTGAGCCCGACCCAGCGCCGGGAGGGAGCTCTCACACGACGACTGGCCGCCTGGGGAGGGACATACGAACATACACTTAGTATACACTAGTCCTAGCGTATACATATATTTAAAAATTGTAATTATTAACAATTATATTTCTTTTGTCTTTTTTGTAAATTCAAACAAAAATTGTTTATTACACCATTTATTTATTTTCTTCTTGTAAATTTAATTCGTGTAACTTCATTGAATATCACTTTTAATGTTTTATTGTTGTCTGTTTTTGTTTAGTCCATGTAATTTAATTTTATTATGTTCTTGATATACCTACTGTTGTTATTGTTTAGTACTAATACATAGTTATCTCCTGTATTGGAATTTGTTAACTGTAATAATAATTGGCAGTCTCGTCATGTTGTGCATGCACCCTTAGGGTTATAATCTGTTCGATACTATTAATGTTTAAGAAATTTTCTTTATGTGATTGTGACCTGTTGTGTTTGCCTTAATAAATAAATAAATAAATAAATATATAGCGTGCGCGTGTCTGTGTCCGTGTCCGTGTGTGTTTGTGTTCACCGTGTCCGTCGTGCTGGTACAGGTCCAGCAGCCTGTCGCCGGGCGGCCCCTCGGCTGACAGCAGCCCCGCGGCGCAGTACTCGTGAGACACCGCTGAAAAAACATAAGGAACATGTTAACGACCTCTGGCGGGGGATGGACGAACTAACAGAGTCACTATGACCTCATATACACATACCTTTATAGTATTCAGCCTTGACATGCACCAGTGACACCCAGGAGTACGGCACGTAGTTGATGACTCCCTCCGTCTGCATCTGCGGACGGAACACATTGAGGTCAGCTGTGACCCGTGATACTCGTGTATGTATGTAGTATCCTGGGCGCACCTTCTCGTACAGCTGCCTGTAGGTGTCGGCCAGGCGCGCGGCCTCCTGCGCCAGGTCCAGGCTGACCCGCTCGCCCAGCTCCCCCGCCTGCAGCTGCAGCTTCTCGAACAGACACTCGCGGGCCTGCGCCTGGAACGACGTACAGGAGGAAGGAGTCAGATATTTATTCATTTATTATTAGGGAAATATACAGCATATCGTATATTACAACTTAATATTATAATCATATTTTAACACTTATGCCAATTAAGTTTCCACTACTGCTACTGTAATAAGTATTTTTCAAGAGATTATAAAATTTACTTAAAATATTTTTAAACAGATCAATGTGGTTGTACTTTCTATTATGACTATTACAAGATCTTAGAATAAAAGAATTTTTATAAATAGGTATTAAAAATGTATCTTGAGAGCGAGCGTTAAAACGAGGACATTTAAATAAAATATTACTGAGTAGATATGGAGAATCAACTAAATTATTTATTATTTTGTAAAGAAAAATTTGGTCTCTTTGTTCTCTACGTTCCTCAAGTGGCAAAAAGACTGAATCAGGAAAAGTAAATTTGTATTACAACCACCTGATAAATTTGTTTTGTATATTTTCAATTACGTTGACATATTTTGCATATTGTGGATTCCAAACAGTTGACGCATACTCTAAATGTGATGTAACGAAAGCATTGTACAAAATTATAAAGGTATGAATATTTTTAAAATCTGCCCCTTGCCGAAAGATATGTAAATCCAAGCATTTCTCTATATGCTTATCGAATATGAGTTTGTTGTCTAGTTGTACCCCAAGGTCTCTCACCTCGGTTGTGTGTGTCCGTGTGTGTGTCTGTGTGTGTGTGTGTGCGTGTTACCGTCATGAGCGCGCCCAGCACCAGCAGCGTGTCCGCGGCCAGGTCGACGGAGGGCGCGTTGGTGAAGTTCTCGTGTATGTAGCGGAGCGCGCCGGCCGCCCGCAGCAGCGCGTCCACCGACCCGTCCAGACCCGAACACGTGGACCGCTCCTGGAGGGGGGGGGGGCAGGTTAACTCACACAACACTACTGTTAATACTACCGTGAGCGACGCGTACCTGCTTGGCTCCTATCTGCGTGTAGATGCCGGCGATGTTGAACAACACGCAGGCCTTCTCGAACGCGACCGTCCTCTGGCACGACGGAACACCTGAACACACAGCACGCGCACACTTTAATATACAGGGTGACTGGTGAATTACTATCGATACTTGAGGACATGATATTTGACGATCATATATGACAAAATAGAAATTAATGTAACATAAATATTAATAAACTTCTAAGTAAAGTTAACCAAAAGTTATGTAATTAATTACGCATCGTGTGAACACCCTACAGATTAGGTATACACACACACACACACACGTGCGGCGGGGGCGTGGTTTTGTATCAGCACGCCGCCGCACGCGTCCACACTTGGAACACTTGGAACGTGTCAACACTTTATTTATTTATACGGAAATTTGGTCAAAAATTAAGTACCTATTTTTTTACATAATTCGAATGAGAATCATGTACCGAGTATGCTCCTTAAATATTGATAGTAATTCACCAGTCACCCTGTATACACGTTATATTATACAGCGGTTGAAATTACTTGAAGAGTGATGATTTTAAAATCATATCTTTTAGCAGAAACGCGATAGTTCAATATTTAAAGTGACCGCGTCGGAACACCCAAGTACTGAGTTCGAATCCTGCGGCCTAAAGTAGATAGGTGTTTTACTGATGATAGCATGACTCGTTAGGAGCACCTTAGTGTCGTGAGATGTACTGAATAGATTATATTAACTAAACATACTTATTTACCATTATATACGACTTAAGCTAATTTTGTACCTATTTAATGTACGATTTATTAGAAATAAAGACAGTATCTATTCAGCAGTTTCGGCTTTCATTCCTCTCTCAGGGCACCACATTACAGTCGTGTGAGGTACGTACCGGTCAAGGAGTCGAACCACTCGAAGTAGACCCCCAGCGACCTGTCCGGCGGGAAGAACCGCCGCTCGATGTAGTACAGCTGGTTGTAGTACTTGAACAGGAGCGCCACGCCCGCCGACGACCTCACCGGCGTGCGGGTGGCCTGCGGGAGGGAGCGCCGCGTACAGTCGATGTGTGTGTGTGTGTGCATGTGTAGCTGGTGTATGTGTGTGCGTGTGTGTCAGACCTGTCTCATGTCCATGAAGTCGGAGATGGCGTCGTCATAAGCCGAGGCGTCCTCGCTGTAGTGCTCCAGTATAAAGTCCTTGAAGGGCTCGCGGAAGTCCACCTCCTTGGTCTCCTTGAGCCCCAGCGGGATCATGGGCATCACGCACTCCTTGCTGGACAATAACATACTCTGTTTAATAAATGAACGAGGCGCATCATTACTATTAACAAGTGTAATGTGTTGAAGTTCATGTTCGGTACAAAGATATTGAATGCATTGGCAGCCTTGGTTGTGGGAGAGGGAGAGGAAAGAGACGGAAAAGGGAATGAGCAACCCACTCTCTCACTCAACGGATGGAACGCATCAAAGGCTACTTCACGCCGATCTTCTGTGAGAGGGTGGTACTTCCCTAGTCGAGCCAGCACATGTTCGAGCTGTAGTTATTTAGCTGTATCTATAGGCATGAAGCACATTGAGATTTTCCAAGTGTTTTAGTTATTTTTGTTAAACATAACATTGCGATAATATCGTAAGTAGATTGTTATATTTCATTATATATTTAATTCCAAGTAGTTTGTATATCTGTGTATTGAACGTATAATTATAGTTAGAAAAAAATGTCCAGTCGGACACGTCAGATAGCTGATATACTTATTAAATATTGTGGATTGTTTTAAAAATTATTATTTTTCAATTCTCCTATATAATGACACATTTGCCTTTAAGAATATATATCATTCTTCTGCACGAAGTATATTTTAGTATGTATGTATGATTTAACTCATTAAATAGTGTCGCATTGTACGCAATATATTAATGTATGTAATATGTAAATATGAAGTAGTAAGTCCATATCGGCGGTGAGGAAAGCGTGCGTGTTACATTTAACAACTAGCCCATTTAATGTGTCGTGATGAAACACTCGCTGAAATAACCAGTCCGCCAGTCGCCGGCTCGTTGGCTGGTCCCTGACACTACCCACATATAATGTATTCAATATTACACAAGAGACTTCGATTTAATTATATATTCAGTTCCAGCCAGTGGACTGAAAGAAGGGATTCATAATGTATCATTAGTCCTGATGATGAACAAACACGTGTTACTCCCTGATGATGTAACTTTAATACCCCGTACAGTTTTTATATTATGAGATCATCAATCATCAAGCAATAAATCACTCAATCAATATTTAACTCTTTATTGCACACAAAGTATACATAAAAATAAAAATATATTCTTTAACACAAAATACATTGGTGGAGCAAAAGGCGGTCTTATGGCTCATAAGCCATTTCATCCAGACAACCTTTTGGTTAGAAGAATAATGTGTGCGGAAGACGGCAATATGGTGGTACAATAATAAACTTACATTATAAAATAATAATAAATTTAACCCAATAAATATAGCAAATACATAAATTAAAAAAAATATCTTAATAGATGTAAAAAAAACAATATTACATTAAATACATATTTATGTGTATATATATTTAATAGATAAATAAAAATAATATAAATAATTATAAAATAAAAATGTGACAAATAGTATAAGAAAATATTAAAAAATGTATCTTAAATGTTATCATTATTATATAGTATCTAAATACAAATAAAGTCTCCCGCCGCGTCTGTCTGTTCTCAATAAACAGAAAAACTAATGCACCAATTAACAAGCAGTTTTCATCATTCGATAGCGTGATTCTCGAGAAAGGTTTTAATATATAATTTGTTTAGGTTTTGTATTGATTTGTGTGTACATTAACGATATTTGTTGAAGATGTCGGGACAAAATGAGCCGTCTGTCAGCTTTTAACGAAAACCCTGCCAAAACCCTTTGAGATATAACGAAATAATGTATGGTGGAATAGTATATGTTTATCTCGTAAGGATTACCTCTTACTTCTTTTAAGAATTGCCATTCATGAAAGCTATTTTCATAATTACAGTATTAATTCTTATCAAAATAAATTACTTCGTGTTCAAGCCTATACTAGTATCTATAAATTACTTTTTTAATTATTTATTCGGACTCACCTTTTGAAAGTTATGATAAATTTAATAATTCTCAAAATTCAATCCACGGATAGCTCACTGTTTCACACGATCACGTCAGTAATGTTGTAAACAACAATTTTATTATATTAAAAAACTATCATTAACATAAAAATATACCGTTTTTCTTAAATCAAACCTATTTTATTTTTAACGAAAAAAAGGATGATGAAATTTTTATTTGTCTTGATTTAACTCAAAAAGAAAGTACTCAAGGTATTATACGCAACATTTTTTTATTTCTTGTATTTTTTGGCTGTTTCATATTTTTTTGTAAAGTACCCTTGTGAAGCTTAGGTGGTCACCTAGCACTTATATGTATATGAAAGAAAGTATGTAGTGTTAATTACATTATTTATAACTCAAGAACGGCTGTACGGATATGGTTGAAAATTGGTGGAGAGATAGATTAGAATGAGGAGACGGACATAGGATATCTAATTATGTTCTATCAACAACGAAAAAAAAATTCAATATATGGTTAATAACGGCTTATAGGGCGAAATAGAGTTTACTCGGTCAGCTATACATACATCCTACTAATATTATAATTGCCTAAGTTTTTGAGTGTGTGTTTATGTTTGTTACTTCTTCACGCTCAAACGGCTGAACCGATTTTGATAAAATTTTGTATACAGGACGCTGACGTCCAGGAATAACACATAGGCTACTTTCCATCCCGGAAATCCGCAGGTACCACCGCGGGGAAAAGCTAGTATATTACTAATGCCGAAATTAACGCGGACGAAGTCGCGGACAATATATGTGTATATATACATAGTGTTTCATGTACATATATATGTCGGTGGTGTGTGTATGTATGTAGTACCTGTCGTTCTGGTACAGCTCCACGGAGGAGTTGAGCTCGGCCAGCTGTTCCTTCAGCAGCTGCAGGTTGGAGTTCACGAAGCTCAGCTCGAGGGCCACCGTCTCACGGAGCTTCCTGTTAGTGGTCGCCTGGAGGGTTACATATACATATATTATAACATTATTTTAGTTTATTTAGATAAAGTAAACGAATGATACGTCCAGTATGTGAATGGCCTAATTCCAGTATAACTCTACCTCGGTGGTGTCCAATCAAAATATCAATAATATTGTTATGAACTAAGCCAGTATTGCTGTTCTTATATACTTAATCCTACACTTATATACTCTGACTATGTAATAAATAATGCTATGCGAGTCTACACTTAAAAAATATAATCTTTAATATAAGCTACACGTGTAGTAAGTGTCATTATTCAATGATATCAATATGTCACAACTAATTAATATTTTTTCTTGTAAACGTTTCATCTTCTGTGAGATCATTTTTCATTAATAAGTTTCTTTGAAGACGTTTCATTTTTCACCAATTGATTTTAACTACATCGATTAATAAAATCATTGCTCTAGAAGAGGACAATGACTAAATCGTTGCATAATTAAAATAAATAAAATTAGAAATTAATTTAATAAAATAAATAAGAATTATATTAATAAAATTAAATATATTTTTTCTCTTATATAATATAGATATTGAGAAATATCAACGAAATTATCATTCATTAACACTTCTGAAGACGTTATAAATCCAAACTTAATCAATTATAAAAAATATTACACTAAATTTTATCGCGAACTGTTAAAGACTATGACATATGGTATCGATATAATGTATATTAATGTTATATATTATAAAAGATTTAATATATAGAGATTTTAATTATTTTTACCAATAAGTTAATACGTTTTTAATACAATGTAATAAATGATTTATAAACTTTCTAATATTTGCATGCTGTATCTGCCTTAAAAGATAATGCATTTAGAATCAAGCTACACTGTATTTCTTTTTACCCAATATTGTATTAATGTAATTATCACTGGTGGATCTTAAATAAATAAAATAAAATAGACATGTATATAATAGTTGTTATGTATATAATGGTATCCAGTCCTCGGTAGTGTGATGTCAGCTGACAGTAGTGTTCATCAGAGCTATCTGTTCTAATAGTGTACAATGATAGTAAGTGTGAGTGTGTGGTTCATACCTTGAAGAGGTTCTCTGCCCCCGCCCTGAGTCTCAACTCCTTGTTGATTTCCTGGTTCAGCTGGCATCTGCGGGTCTGGAGCCGGCCGCGGCAGGTCGCCACGCGGGGGTCCGAACCCTGGGGTCAAGGGTTAAATATATAGGACATACTATAACGTGTATTTACCAAAGAGGGTTGGTGTCAGGCAGGCGGACGGTCGTAAAAACAATTAGCCAAAACTATTCACAACATTTAAGGCAGACCCTGGCTAGAGCTGGGGAGTTGCCAGGTAGAAGAAGAAGAAGACTATAACGTGTACCTTATACTGTACTTGATAATCAGAGTCAGATAATATCATTACACACATTTTTGTTAACTTCAATGACTTAAGTATAAGAGGATTTCTAGTATCTACAAGTATTTAGGGTAATACGAGGATATTACAAATCGAAGGAAATATAAGTGCGTGTAATGAACTAATGCCAGTTTGTATATTTGTGGAGTATACACGTTATATCTACATATATTTATATATATATATATATATATATATATATATATATATATATATATATATATGGCATAACCTGCTGACTGAGGTCTGAGTTATAGCTTTCACAATGATTCAGACATATAATATAATATTATATACATATATGTATTGAAATATGTAAAATAATTAATATATAAAGCCATATTATATAATATGTATCAAAGGTACAGTGATGCAACAGATTTCATTTTATTGTTAAATTAAATCATGCATATAGAACGCTCTTAGCATATTTCAATAGACACACACACACATACACACACACACACACACGAACGTCGCAACCTCACGAGGTCAACGAACCTATACGATATATTTCGTAAAGTTAATAATTATTATAAGCGAGCACCATATATGAGGGTCACAGTTCATTCTGACCACGCGCTACAGACATCTATGGCCTGGTGTTCAAGGTCAGTTATGACATAGTGTTACAACTACTGTAATATAGAAAGTGAGCTCCTATATGGAAGACATTGACGAATGGTGCATGTATATTGATACTAATATTATTAACTAGCTTTCCGCCCGCAGCTTCGCCCGCGTGGAGTCCGGTTATATGGCGTTTCCAAGAGAACCTTTCGAAAGTCTGGGATAAAAATTATCCTATGTTCTTTCCTAATGTCAACTCTATCTCTGTACCAAATTTCATTAAAATCATTTCAGTGGTTTAGGCGTGGACGCGTAACAGACAGACAGACAGACACGAGTTACTTTCGCATTTATAATTTTAGTAGGGATAAATGAAAAGGTTTGTTAGGTTGGATGTGTGCTTATTGGTATGTCAAGCAAAAATTACGAACGATCTTTTATCCTTTATACTGATCTATCTTATACATCAATATTAAATATAAACTATAATATACCCTTTCTTTCCGTGTAGTTAGGTACTGTAGGGTCAAGTCGTTACAGTATTGTGTATGTCTCGTGACAAACTTTTGATACAATATCTATTGTATCAATACACTTGGCGGACAAAAAAATGTTCCTCATTACATTGTTATGTGATTACATTGAAATATCACTTTAAAGATACTATGCGGTATATACAATTTGCGCTCGTGTGTACACACATACCCGTCTGTGGCTCGGTCGCTTGTAAAGTTCATTTATAAGTAATGGTATCTGATTTATGACTGGTGCATCACTAATGAAATACTTTTTAACATTAGGTGTTTATATTTCTTTTCAAAATGTGTTAAGTAGAGAGAGGAGATTGTACGGTGGAGGTGAGCGTTTAACGCGTTAGATAAATTAAACCTACACCTGGGTCACAAGTCCCAGTCACTGTTGAAGCTCCTCTCACTACAACGATGGACCCGACACACGCACCGTGAATACATTGAATGATGAGAAGTTTAGTCTACACTCATCGTCAATGTACTTCTAATTCATGTTTCTCAATCAACGATCCCAATATAGCAAAGGAAGTCGTATATTAAGAAAATATTCAGTAACTGTGATAGTTGAAGCGTGTTGCAACACGTATGTGGTCAGTAATGATAGTACCTTATAACTCTACGAACATGTCAGTCTTTAACCTGGATTGAACTAACATTCTTTAACCTCACGATGTCGACAGGGGAGTGTATTATATGTTTATTATATATATTAGTAGTGTGTGATAGTGCGTGTCCACCTTCATTAGAGTATTGATAGACGTCAGTAGTTATCTCGTGATCGGAACAGCGTTTTTTAATGAGACTTGGATAGAGGTATGTGCGTGTGAAACGCTACTCCAGAGAGGCGGGGGCAGGGACGGGGAACGGAATTACGATCACAGATATAGAACCAGGGGAAGTGACACGTAGCGGGTGAAGGAAATGTAGCGATAATTTGTTTCACACGATCGAGTCAGATGAGACTTTCACCAAAACCACAAATATTAATATGAAATACACTAAGCTGATAGTATCACGACTCATAAGACTATCAGAAGAGACGTCATTGGTCACAAGATATATTGTTGAATGTTTGTTTATAACCAAACGATCAGACATATGCTGCAAATTCTTCAAGATCTGGATAGACTATTTTCAGGTGATAGGAATTTAGAACAGCATGAGTGATAAAATCGGTGTCGTGTGGCTAAGAGCTGTGTGAACCCCTACGTCTTCTAAGCCATGTATATATATTATATATATGTAGTTATATAGTATTGGTCATGGTATGTCATGTCTTTGGAGTTCTCGTCACGTCACAGGATCACTATCAGAGACCCACACACACACACACACACACACATACCTTACCTACACAGCACTACTGTATTACATATCGACACATAGTCAATAAGTCCTTCATTTAACAGGAATATACTGGGGTGACAGGCTTCCATGAATTAATTTGATTTTTTCTATATAAATAAATATTATATTGCTCTTGCAGTTCTTATATACATGTCAAAGGTACAATTTGTATCATTCTATCATATTATCTATGTTGTAAAACATAGCAGACAGTTATTTAATCACTACAAATCATCAGTATGACCAAAATGTATCGATAACTTTCTTTGAGCGCGTGTGTGTATGTGTGTCTGTATGTGTGTGTGTGTGTGTGTTTGTGTCTGTATACGGTAACGCGTCTCGCATAACATTTCTCTTAGAAATCACCAAAGCCATGGCTGTAATGTATTTGACGGTGATGTCATGACTTTCATCGTCCGTCTGCTCCGTCACATTACAACACTACATTTGATTGACACCTATGTACGTATGTATGTGTTGTTCCGATCGATCCTAGTAACTCGGTTCTAAAGATATCATGAAGCTATTGAGATGTGTTTTGTTTGGTGTAGCGACGCTTAAAAACGCCGATAATTACGTGTTCAAGATATATCTAAAGCCTAAATAATAACAAATTTAAATAAATTATTATAGCACATTATATATGTATGTAAACATAACACAATTACGCCAATTATTATTTATCAAAAAGACGTGAGAATATTTGTATGTGTGCATGTTAATTTTTCTCGTATCGCTAACATAGTTGTTATATAAAAAAAGATTAAATAATGTATATAGAATGTGTGATACATAAATATGTATATCATTTTTATTTGATTTCTACACTAAATTATGTATTACTTAATTACTATTAAAATGTTACGGTCAAGTCATTGTCATTAGTTACGTATGTAGCTCTCGTCGTACGTACAGACATACAAACTATCCCTACTATTATTATAAATGCAAAAGTAACACTGTCTGTCTGTCTGTTACGTTTTCACACCTAAACCACTGAACAGATTTTAATGAAATTTGGTACAGATGTAGTTGATCTTTAGAAAGAACATAGGATAGTTTTTATTCCAGACTTTTGAAAGGTTCTCTTGGAAACGCGATATAACCGAACTCCACACGGACGAAGCTGCGGGCGGAAAGCTAGTATTATACAGGGTGACTGGTGAATTACTATCAATATTTTAGGAGAATACTCGGTCCATGATTCTCATTTGAATTATGTAAAAAAAATAGGTACTTAATTTTTGACAAAATTTCCGTATAAATAAATAAAGTGTTGACACGTTCCAAGTGTTCCAAGTGTGGACGCGTGCGGCGGCGTGCTGATACAAAACCACGCCCCCGCCGCGTATGTGTGAGTGTGTGTGTATACCTAATCTGTAGGGTGTTCACACGATGCGTAATTAATTACATAACTTTTCGTTAACTTTACTTAGAAGTTTATTAATATTTATGTTATATTAATTTTTATTTTGTCATATATGATCGTCAAATATCACGTCCTCAAGTATCGATAGTAATTCACCAGTCACCCTGTATATGTGTACGTGATAAACAAACATACACCCGAGTAACAGTGATTGTGAATCGAGTTCAATGTTACAGAGCCAACAATACATATTGGATCCATTGAGTAATCTTTGTACAGCTATTGTCTACAACTAGCCATTTGTAACTAATATATTTTGGTTTTAATCCAATAACGAGTAATCGTTATATTTATTGTATAATCAGTCTTAACACATTGTAATAAGGACCTACGTTCTGTGATTTTGTTTTTTCTCGCCTCGTTAACTCAGTCGATACAATAGCCTTGTGTATTGCATCAGTTTAAACTTCCAAGCTACACGTATTATATACTAGTTTCTGTTCGTGACTTCGTCCGCGTTAGTGTCGGAATCAGTAATATATGTATAGCTGACCGGGCAAAATCTATTCCGATCTAGACGCAATAAGTAACCAGATTTTTTAATTTATAAAGTTTTTTCTGTTTCAATCGAACAGAATTAAATATACTATGTCCGTCTCCTGGTTCTAAGCTATTTCTCCACCAATTTTCAACCATATTCCCACAGCTATTCTTGAGTTATAAATAGTGAAACTAACACAATTTTCTTTTATATATATAAAACTGACTGTTATTAATATTACTACCCTCTATATATACGCTATACATATGCAAGTATATGTATATTTCAATGCATGTCTGTCCGTCTGTTACTGTTTATTCGTTCCGCTTTGTCTCTGTAACCGCTTGATCTATTGAACAGATTTTTCATAGGCGTATCAATACTAATACAATCATGCATATATTATTTTTCTATTATTTTTTGTACCCTATGGACTATGTGTTCGAAATAAAGATTATTATTATTATTATTATATATTATAATGAGTAATATTAAATGAAAAAAATGTTTGTAAATAATTTTATGAAAATAAAATTTACATAAGAGTACTTTGAGTACAAATTAGTTGATTTATATATATGTACATACATGGGACATTTTAACTATTTGAATAATTAATTTTAACAATTAATTAATTGTGCTCACTTCTATAAGA